TTGCTGTGATCTTGGCCTGCCGTCTTAGCCATTCTTGTCGGCCAATGCTAAAGCTATTAACACTCTTTCAATTTGGACAAAAGAAAAATTGATTTCGACATCTCGCGATCGTTAAACAACAGCTAAACGAATCTTTAATGTCAGCTACTATAAATTATGCGCAGTTCACTATATATTTTTTCCAACTACTTATGAAACCTTAGCTTTTTATAGTCCCACTATTAAGTCCAACAGGTTCCGTTAAATTTTGAAGGACATGCGAGCAGGCCAGTTGACGCCCAATTTGGCGTTAGCGGAATCGCTTGACTAACTTTACAAGCTCACTATCAATGGCAGGCAAGTTGAGTGATTTGCGCTGTTGCAATCTACAGCTGCCTCAGCTAATTGGCCCACTTGTGCCGCACGGCGTATACGCAACATGCGACTCGGGTGTCAAATATGTGGCCAGTTGTTAGTCTTGTTGGTTCGTTGAGCTGTTCATGAAGCATGTCGCGACGTTGACAATCGACGAATTGGTCAACAACAACTGGGCACTTCACATCGAGGACGGTTGGCTTATAAGTCATTCGATCTGTGAAAACCAGTTGATCGCTCAGCCAAGATCAAATAAAATTATAGTGCACTTGATTAGCACCATTTACGCCAACGACGAGGGCATTCATTATAATTCTTTTCAAATCTTTTCAACTCTTGCAGCATACTTGCATAGCTCTAGCGCTAAGATGTCAGCAAAACCTAAATTTAATTTCGAGAAGGAGGGTCATCTGACCATCGGACATGTCGACGAGAGCGAAGTCGATCGTGTGGCCGAGAGTTTCAAAGGACGTAGTCTATTCATTACGGGCGGCACGGGCTTTCTGGGCAAGGTGCTAGTCGAGAAGCTATTGCGGTAAGTATAATGGAGAGTTGTATATATATATATTATAGCTAATTAATTAATATATATATGGACACACATGCTTAACCTCTGGTTTATGTCTAGCTTTAATAGTGCACATTATGAAGCAAAGTCTAGTAAATAATTATGATCTAATAAAAACAAAAACTTGTAACGTTAAACGAAAAACAAAGAGCCTCCCATCACCGACGGCTTAGATGATCTCGCTTACTTAGTACTGATCGCTTAGCTAGTTGTCAGATACATGATAGAGCTTTTCTATAAAGTTTATTCGATTTTGATGATCTCTTAAAAGACAAGAGCTCATAAAATGGAAAAATATAAACAACTACTTCAAGGCACCAAGCTTAAATATACTATACGTTGAGCTGATCGTTAAGTTTTTTCATTGAGCTAGAAAACTTGAGTTATGAACGATTAGTTCTAGCTTAGAACGATGTCAATATGCAAAGAAGGCTAAATACTTATGATCTAATGGCTGCAAAGAAACTCTAAAAAGCACACACTAAACACTTCTTTAAGGCACCAATGCTGAAATAATCTGGCAAGAAATGTTCATTCATTTTTATACCAAGTGCCAAACATCAAAACGTCTAATTAAAGCCAGCTTCTAAATAATTCTGCTTGCGCTCGAATAAAAGCTGAAAACTCTTGGCAATAAAAAAATAACTTAAATACCCGCGAAAACAGAACTCAACTATACATTTCTATACTTATATATATTAATGATAGCTAAATGATAGCTAGTAAATGTTTTTTGATAAAATAGAGGCAAGACTGGTAGAAAACCAAAAATATTTTGACTCAAAGCCAACAAAGCCTAAATGCTCTAGCCTAATATAGAGCTAGTCCAAAAAGCTTAGCTTGGTAAAGCTACTAAAAACACAATTATAAGTTTGTTTTTATACTACAAATATATAGTATATATCTTATAGAGTATAAAGCTGAGCAATTTCGACATATGATATAGAATTTCATGCTGCGCTACTACAGAAAATCCATAATATCTACTATATAATTAAATATTCATATACTTTAAGAGTATATGTTTCCGATGTAAGCGTTACATATCGCACAACAAAAGCATGTATACCCTCATGTATAGGGCATACAAATGATATACTGCAAGTTAGTATAACTGGAATCTTAGACTAGGTTCAGACTATAAAAGCTGCGTGCTTTAACCTAGAATAAAAAACTAGCCATTGCATAATATGCGCCATGTCTCATAAATTAAATTTGGCTAAAAGTGGGCGGGTGGGTTAGCTGGTTGACTGCGTTGGCTAACAGCTGCTGCTGCCGTTACTGCCGGCACGCGTGACCTCAATAATTCTCAATAAACTGAGATTATGCGTTATTAATTTTTGCAGCTCGTGTGGCGAGCTAAAGCGCATTTACCTGCTCATACGTCCCAAGAAGGGCAAGGATTCGCAGGAGCGCATTAAGGATATATTCCAGAATGTGGTAAGGCAAATGAACACTGAATACGGATTAATGAAACTTGGCAAAACTAATGCAATGCAATCAATTTGACAGCTATTCGACCAGGTGAAGCAGTTGCGCGGCGAACAGCACATCTTGGACCAGGTGGTGGCCATAGCCGGAGATGTGATGCTGCCTGGCCTGGGCATCTCTGACAAGGATTTGGAAACCTTACGCAATGAAGTTTCCATAGTGTATCACTGCGCAGCTACAGTGCGGTGAGTGACGCGTTAAATATTTAATTTACATCTTATCTTACCTGTGCTCTGCCATTTCATCTCGTTCAGTTTCGATGAGCCCTTGCGCAACGCCGTCTTCATGAACACACGTGGCACCAAGTACATGCTGGAGCTGGCTGCCAGTTTGAAGCATTTGGACTTCTTTGCCTACTGCTCGACAGCCTATTGTCATTTGCATGTGAAGACTTTGTATGAGAAGCCCTATGATCCGCCGGCAAATCCCCATAAGGTGATTCAGGCCTGTGAGTGGCTGTCCGACGAGGAGGTTTCGCTCATTGAGCGCAAGATTCTGGGCGATATACCCAATACTTATGCCTATACCAAGTCCCTGGCTGAGGCTTTGGTTGTGGAGAAATTCAGTGAATTGCCAGCTGTTATATTGCGTCCATCTATTGTCATACCCATTTGGAAGGAGCCCATACCGGGTTGGACGGATAACATCAATGGACCCACTGGCTTGCTGATTGGCGCTGGCAAAGGTGTCATACGCACCATGTACTGTAACTCATCGGGTTATGGCGACTTCTTGCCCGTCGATGTCGCTGTCAATGGCATTTTGGTTGCCAGTTGGCGCAACATTACGGCTGGCACGGATCACACGAATCGTGTTGCCCACATGACCTCGTCGAATGACATTAAAGTCTCCTGGGCTGAGATTATTGAACTGGGTCGTTGGGTTATTGAGAACAAGGTGCCCTTGAATGGCGTGGCTTGGTATCCAGGTGGCTCAATGAAATCGAACTATTACATCCATTACGTTTGCATGATTCTCTTCCAATGGCTGCCTGCTCTGTTTGTGGACGCTTTGCTATGGCTTTTACGGTATCCGCCTGTGTAAGTGAAGTAAATCAAGTCGAGAAATGTTTCCTAAGACATGATTTTATTCAATCCCCAGTCTCTGTCGCGTCCAGAACCGCATCACAAAAGGTTTCGAAGTGTTTGAGTACTATGCGAACAACGTTTGGAGCTTTGATAATTCAGAAGCTGTAAAATTAAGAAAGCTTATGAATAATAAGGAACGAAAAACATATGTTATTGAGAAAATTGATCTGGATTTGATAGACTATTTCACCAATTGTGTGTTGTGTGCACGTCGCTTGATACTCAAGGAGTCAGATGAATCGATACCAGCGGCCAAGCGACATATGAAAATGTAATTTCCGAAATTTTTTTATATATGCAAGTTATTAATTGTTATTATTTGTATTTGCTTACAGCATGTGGTTCGTAGACAAGTTTTTCAAGTGCATGTGGATCTTTGGCATTTTGTATATGCTCTATAGATGTTTCTTCGCCAGCTAAACTCACTTGCACATTAAGTTTAGTTAAGTGCTGGAGACCAAAACCAAGACCGATTGTTATGATGTATTTGTTACATTTTTTTATGATTTTAAGTTTCTTAGTTTTAGTTGGTGCTGTTTAGCTGTTTAGTAATAAGTTTTTAAATGGAGTAAATAAAGTATGGAAACTTCAAACCTAGTGTACAAACTGTTTAAGTTTGGCGGCTTTATTATTTGTATTTAGCTCTAGTTCGTTATCGATAATTCTCTGACATGCAACGCAGCAATTTTTCGTTTGCAATATATCGATAGCAGCAGTTACTCTAACTATCGTAGGTATAAATTTTTTAGTTGTGTACACACTTTTTTCCAAGCAGACCAACATATTCTGCGCTTGCAATTTACACCTAGTGAAAACTTAAAACAAATCAATCAAAATGTTGGGCCGCAGCAGTGTATTTGCACGTAACTTCTCCCAATCGATGGTGCGCTACAGCGGCCATGGTGGTGTTCCCGGAGAGGTAAGCAGCGATTGATCAAATGGCGTATTTGTGTTGTTACATAACTTGCGCGAACGTAATCCTGAAGGAAAATCAAATGATGATATCATTGCATATCAATATTTAAATTATAGAACCTGCCCTTCAGCCTGCAGAACAAATATAGGATCACAGCTCTGTTCACCATCGGCTGTGTGCTGGGCTTTGGCGCGCCCTTCCTGATTGTTCGTCATCAGCTGTTGAAGAAGTAAGTGGCATTCGCAGCCCCGACAGCCGCAGCCACAACAAATACAACGAAATGAAAAAAAATCGTAAGGTTAGTTTTATTTATATTCGAATTGAGTTTATGGTTAAAATATTAATATGGTGCATTTATTTTGCAGATTACGTTGTTCTTTGTTGTAGCCGCCACATGTTGGTCAATGTCTTGCAGTTTTTACCTTTAAGTCAAAAGTTTAAACCGTAATAAAGTTACCCAAAAAAAAATCCGAGATTGTGAGACGTTTCCCTTAAGTACATAAATAACAATATAAGTAGGCTTTATTTAAAAGAGCGTCGCTGCTTGTATATATGTATATGTATGTATAATCATAGCTGGCAGACACAATTCATATTCGGTGTTGAACGTATCGTAATTTCTAATATTTTCTAAATATTGACTTGTAAAAGTCTAATTTTCGGCTCATAATTATGTTTGCTTTACGCGCCGAGGTGCGCAAAATATTTGCGCCTCTCGCTCGTCACATGTCTGGTTATCCCGGCGGAGTTCCAGGTTTGGTAAGTTGTATATATATATATATGTATATATCTCGGTATATACGATCTACAACAACTGAGTCTACTCCTCCACCTATCAAATAGAATCTTCCCTTCCGTAAGGGACTTGAAAGTCCAGTTCGTTTTACTATATCTTGGTTTATTTTGGGTACCCTTGGATTTGGTGCACCGTGGTTGGTTGTGCGTCATCAACTGCTGCGCAATGTCACTGAGGAACCGTAAGCAGAACCTAAAATATTTATGTATGAATAGAATTGACTATATTTTGGCTTCTACAGCAAAGAAGAGGTTCAATGAAATGGAATATTTTGTTTCTCCACTTCAATTAGCAATTTAATAATACCGACAGAAAACATATTTACTCCATTTAAACACGTCTATTACAAATAAAAAGGAATTGCACATCTGTTATTTTATTTAGTTTTAATTAGACAAAAGTAATTCAGATATAGTTCTAAATTCAGTTATTGTCATTTAGTTCAGAATCGATCGCCTGTTGCAGGTGACATGATGATCATAGAAATTCGTTAATTGTACACAGTGAAATTTTGTTCATTCACAATTCTTCTCTGCCACCGAAATCGTATTCGTCCTGGACGGGAGCTTCATCACAATATTTGGCCTGTTCCGAGCAGATTTTTATGTCCAAGTCGTTGCCCAGCTCTTCCGCTTGGAATGCTTTAAGGAAGATCTCTTCATTGTCATCAAGCACCTCTAGACAGAAGTGACCCAGACTCTTGTTAAGATCGCCATCCTGAACAAAATCTACGAGCGACGAATCTGGATTCATCTGGCCATTGACTATCATTTTGAGTAGCGCAAATTTGCCATTGCTCTTATAAGTAGCCTTCAGATAGTCATCCATCTTTTCACCTGCAAAATTGAGATTATCAATATGTTATCTATACTCATCACATTTATTTATATACTTACATATTTTTTCCATAAGCTCTGTTAGAAACATTTCTGACTTAATGTAGCGCACGCGTTTGCTTATGGAATTGCCTTGGGCATCTAGTCGAAAGCCGCTTACGTCTACCTTCTTGTTGGCATCCTCTTTGGCTATGGCATCCTCTAGCTCCTGCACCGTTGCCTTGCACACTGAGGTAAATCGCTTAATAATTGCCAACAGGTTGCCTTGTCTCGTTCGTTTCACTTACCGTGGCATTTGACTTCCTTAGATGTAAAACTGTAGCTTTGCACTTGAGCAACCGCTAGCAGCATAACGAAGCATAATATTAATTTATTCATTGCATAAATAATGTTTAACTAACAATTTATTTCTAATTATTCAACTGTTTAAACCACGTCAGCACAATTCAAAATGAGGGTTTCGACCTGTATGATAATTGACAGACTGGCACTAATTGTTGCGACAGCTAAAGCGACGGCAATCCCAGCCAAATGATTTAAGTTAGTACTTCAATGTTTTGCTAGCCGCTTTTAGTTGATAAGAATAAACGCGGTCGCTTCCTCTCTTCCACAATTATCAACAAAATAACAAGGGCTTAACAGTGGCGTTTACTGTTAAGCGGCTTAATTTAAAATGTTTCCAGTCTGTTATGAACAACGAGCAATTATCTTTACAGCACTTCAAAAATACTAGAGTATTAGCAAATTTACATTTTAAAATAATTATCATGAATAACTTATTTTGAGAAATTGAAATTCAAAATGTATTTTGGTTCCTATTTAAACTAAATTTATTGAAAAATCTAACAATAAGCAATAAATTTAAAATTTAACAGCTAACATGCGACTCTGTCTCCAATGTTAAATAACAGCACAAACAAAAAGTGGTCCTCTGTGCTTAACAGTAGACGAAATGTCTTAAATTTCTATATTGCGGTATTTTTGGTAGTATTAAATGCACACATTTAAAATGTTGGCGGCATGTGTTTGCTGGCAAAATTGTATTCTCTTGAATAATTTGTCTCTCCTAGGTTCTGCTGTGAGATTAAAGATAATATATAGTATATGTTTGAAATGCGCAATGCTGATAACCAAAGTCTCAGTGTAAATAAAGTAACTCTCGCGAGCGGTTCTTCGAGACGCTATCGAGGCAAATATTCACAATTTCAATAGAAATAGAAAATAAAACAATCGGCAATTATTGTTGCTGCTGTTGTTCTTGTTATTGTTGTTGCTGTTGTTCCGGCCGGTTTCATTTGTTAATGTAACAGAACACTTAACGTATTTTGTAAATTAATGCCCACGACACTCGCAATTCAGTATTAATTCCAATAATATTTTATTAAACAATTTCGTTTCGAGATCACGTATAATTGGCGTTAATTGATCGTGTGTCTGCGCTCTGTGTTCTGTGTTCGTATCTGAAGACAGCGACTGTGCAATGAGCATCGTAGGCACAGAAGCACATTCTCTTCTCTCCTGTTGTTCAGTGCTTATTCATTTAATTGATAAGAATAAGCATTTGTGTGCACAGTTCATTGTAGAATTGTATTTGCTTAGCTATATTAAGTGTGTGATAAGTCAATATGCAAATTAACGTTTGCAAAATTTCATAATTTATTTAAGAATGAATTCAAGTTGTTGCTATCAATTCATTTACTTTCCTGATCTACAGCCCATGCGTTGACAGCTCTGACCCAAAACACTTAGCAAATGCGATAAGCGTGCCCATTAAAGACTTTTAAAATCAAATAAACATTAAGTTTCGCGTGAAAAGTGAAACAAAAGTAAACAATTCACAGGCACGTCAATTCTGCGCTGTCTGTTGCTGCTGCTGCTGCTGCTTTTGAACTTTAAGCTACAAGTTCGTTGAAATGTAATTGATTAAAATAAATGAAACAGACCTCCGCTGGCGCCATCTATGTGCGAGTTGCGTAAGCTGCCGGCAGCTGACAATGCAGCACAGTTCATAGGAAGGCGATAATCTTCTGAAAAGGTGGCGACAGGTGGGAAATCTTTGAAATATTAACTGCTTAAATACATGTCTTATGATGCATATAAATTCATGGACTTCAACAAATACGCAATTTTATATAATGTTTATACAAGCATTTATATATAACGCTTTAATAAATTCGTGTGCTATACTATCATTACGGCCATCAATAACCGCAGCTATAGCACACAGATACATTCCAAAATCTTCTTCGTAGTGGGCGGCCGTAGAACTGGCTTTTTTCCCCTTCCTGCGCTGCAACACCTGCGTCTACTTTGTCCGGATCTGTGGAGAGGATTTCTGCATCCCTCATTTCCCGAATATCTTCTACGGCAGCTTGCTGGCGGTCAAGTGGACTACTGGCAGTATTTATTAAAGCCAAGGACATTAGTATAGTAAGCACCAGGATCAGCTTCATTGTAGTTAATTTATATGTGAAGTTTTCCTTAATCTGTCTAAGTTTTGGGGAGCAGACAGCTGAAAATCTCCACTGCTTGTAGATGCTAACCACCTTGCAACGTAGTTAATTTATACCCGAATCACAGCCTTGTCTAAATAAATATGTATCTAGATAAGGTAGGAAGCTTTCAGTAGGCTATGAATCATAGTTTATTTGCACGAACTTTCATTGCTGGACAAATATAGAAACAGACAACAAAACTTTATTTAAACTGCTTAATGTGAAACTCTTTAAGTAGATCAAAGTTTCAGTAATGGATATGCCAAGACACCTTTCGGGTAGTACTTTAGTGAGATGTGCTATATAAGTCTATAGTAGACTACTACGCTAATAGAACTTTAGACATAGCTTACTTAGTCGTTGTTTTATTGTGATAAAACCATTTTAAATTTCATTGAATTGAATTAACAACTTTCGAGTTTCCTCACTAAGTCCCCTGTGGAAGTTTGTGTCAGAGCTAAGCACAGCAAAATATTGTGAAGATCGCCAAAGACTATTTTCTAAATTAACTTATTTTTCACCTTAGTCTACTGAGCCAATCCTGAAAGGGTTCCATGGCCCAGGGCTCGCGATCATCGAGTGAGTCCTGTAGCAAGGGTTTTGCCTGGGAAGAGTAAGTAAGTAGATCAAGCCAGCCAGTAGAATGCTTAGGTATACGATGAACTTCATAGTAGTAGTTGCTAAATACGCTTTCCAGTGAGTCTTCTCTACAGCCACTGTTGATGGTCTTTGCGTTTCGAAAAGTCTTTTATTTGCAGAAAAGCTCGACTTTATCAATGTTTAACAGCAGAGTTCAGCTTTGGAGGCCAAGTGTGGTGGTATTTGAAAGGTACTTAATACATATAAAATTATTAAAAGATTGTTGAGGCAGCTATATGTATATGCAAGTTTTAGGGAAATATAAACTTATCAAAGTTCAGATTTAACTTATTTTTGAAAATAATTTATTATTCTTAAGAACTGCGTCAATTAATTTGGTCTGAAAAGAGTATATTGGTATGTTGGGCTGTCTGTCTGATGCTGTTATTGAAGCTACAGATTTCACATTTTGAAGTTATACTCATGGATGCTCTCGTGTTAAGACTGTTTAGGATACGCTCACAATCAGATATTGCTATGCCTCTTCAGACATACGTAAGCTAGCAAACTGCGTGCCAAAACGGAAAAACTATATAGTCTACATTTAGAGAGCTGATCTACTTTACTGTTAGATCGAGCCTGCCTAAGCGTTAGCTTACTCACTTGAACGAGTATTATTCAGTCGGTAGCGTCTGTAGCCAAACAAATGCCTCGATTTTCCACTAAAATGTTTAATTGCTTTGCAAGTGCGCAGATTCCGATGCCAATTCCAATTCCATTTCAAATTGCGATTGCGATTTCGATTGCGATTCTCTGCAGCTACAGCTATAGATACAGATACATCTGCAGATACAGCTACTAATGCGTAGCTATAACAAATCATTTCAGCCGAATTGTAGCTTGAAGAAAACAAACAAACAAAAAGAGAAGCATCACAGAATGATTAGTTAAGTACACGAGCGGGCGTAATATTTGTCTTTCTGTCTGCGCGCTTGTGTTTCATTGTATCTGTAGCTGTATCTGTTGCTGTATCTGTAGCTATATCTGTAGCTGTATCTGTATCTGCATCTGTATCTGTTGCTGTTTCAATTTTGGTTTTTTTTTGTTTTGTGTGTTCTGTTGATCAACATTGAAGAGAGGCGGGAACGGGGCTCAGGCTACCAAATGCGTCTTCATCGCTGTCCATTCGACTGTGGCTATTATTATTATTGACACTGCTCGAGTGGTTTCTTCTTGTACCCCTTTATTGAATGGACTCTGTGTTGCTGTCGCTGTCGTTGTCGTTGCCGTTGCCTGTGTGTGTGTATGTTTACCTTTGTTATCGGCGTTGGTATTGAATTTGGCGTCATACTGTCTGCCAGTCGCTGTCTGAGCCTACCAATCCACACACACGCTCTTTAATATCTATAGCATGTTCGGCTGGCCATAAAAGAAGACCACAAAAAGACTACAATGGGCTAAAGGGGGCAGAGGCAAGGGCCGCTGCTTTTGCCGTCACACTGTCTGGCAGGTTTCACACACACATTCACACTCACGCACACGCACACACACAGTGACAGGTAAATGGACATGGGCACCGTCACCGGCCGACGGGGCAGCAACAGCAGCAGCTCTATAAATCACAGACGTGCGACTGACTGCCTGGCAGGCAGGAGAGGCAGGAGCTCTGTGTGTCTCAGACCCAGTCTCAGTCTCAGTCTCAGTCTCAAGCCCAGTCCCAGTTGCAAGTACATAGCTCACGTTTTTCCTTTTCTTCTCCTTTTATTTTACTTCTTTTTTTCGCCTTTACCTTTGCTTGGGCCACAGCTGGTTCAGAGATCGCGTCGCTGATCCCACCAACTGGCAGTGGCTTCTTTTTGTTTTAGGCTCTTTGGCTGAGGCGAAAACCTCTTCAGATATACAAAGGAAGATAAATTTCACACTCAGACACACACATGCAGAGAGAGTGAGAGAGGATCGTTGTGCCTTTATGCTAAGCGCTGTCCAGGCCAGGGCAGCCAAGCCAGGCCAGGCCAGGCCATGCCAGGCCAGACCAGTATAAGCAGGCATAAAGATAAGATATGGCAGTAGACACTGCCAGACATTGTGGCGACATCGACGATATTGTCGATGCGATGCCCAATGCTGACCAATGCTTCGCATATATGTTGCTCTCTCGCTTGCTGTCATTCGACTATCCCTTTCGCTGTGCGCACGCTCTATCTCTTTTGCGTGCATACGCTCGCACTCTCTCTCTCTCTCGCTGTGTGGCGAGGGCCACTTTAGGCCACATATATATATGTATATATTCCCGACTATACTCCTATTGAACTGCTTGCGTTTCAGTCGTATTTGAAACTTGGCGACGCACAGTTTGGTTTTTCACTTTTTATTCAGTTTTAGTCTCGCGCTCTGTGGCTCGATTTTTCACTCTGTGTATAATTTTTGCGAAGAAAAACAAACAAACAAGCAACAACGACGACAACAACAACAACAACAACAATAGCTATAGCTTTCATAAGTTCATATAAAGCTGAAATACATCCAACACTCGCCCATCGATACATATAGAGTATATATATTTATATCTAGAGTATAGACATATGCGTAGCATCCAATCTCTATCAACTGAATTGGCCAAGATTTGAGCTAAAAATAGCCGCCGGATATCGATAAACAAATAATATATAAAGCAGACAACAATTTCTAACAGAAGCCAACGAGAATTGCGAATTTGTGCAAAAAGTTCGAAACACTATAAAAAATATCAGCGAATATATATCGATATATATACGTATATATATATATATAATGCAATAATCAGCTTGTGTGCGCCATTAATAAGTGACCGAATTCTATTGACATTCAACTAAGAAGAACCAGAAAATGATTATAAAATGTTTAAGCCTTGCATTTGGCGTGCTGCTCTTGCAGTTGTCGCTGGCTGTCGAGAGCTTGGAGCAGCAGCAGGAGACGCGACTTGATCTGCCCGTAAGTTATCTGAAAGCGTGTAAATCCCAAGAAAACACTTGAATATTCCAGGTATTAAAAGAGTAGAGCAAACTGTGATTGCTACAAATTGTCTGCACAGTCGGACTTTGACTTTTCAGTCAGCTTTTGTTCCTTTTTTTGCACCTTTTTATTTTTTTACTTTTCTTTTTTTTTTTAAGTTGAAGAGCTGCCGCCGCGCTGTCTGCGATTTCTGCTTTGCCGGCAAATACCCTTGTCCCTTGTCCCTTGCCCCGGACAGCTCCTGCTTGGCTTTGACTTTGGCTTTGTTTTAGTTTCATCTGCCCGACGAACGTGTTTTGTTGTTCTCTTTTTTTTTCGTTTTTTTTTGAGGTGCCGCAGAAGAATCGGCACAAAAAGTGCTAAGATGTAAAATATATAAAAATGGTCACAAGTCAAAAGCGTTTTGGCCAGGTAGGAATAGACAGAGACAGAGTCAGCTTGAGAGGAGGAGAGGGCAGGGGAAGAGGTAGGTGGCCAGTGTCCAGCTCCATTGCCACTAAGCTGGCTGCCGCTGCTGCTGCGGCTGCCTGATGATGACAAAGTGTGAAGCAGTATTTCAAGTGCTGTTCTCATTCTCACTCTGAACGCTACACAACGAGCGTGAGAACTGTCAGTCAATAATTGTTTTTTTTTTTGTGTCGTTATCGAACATAACAATCCTTGAGCTGTCGCCATATATAAAAATGATATATATACACACATGTGCGCAGGGCATTTCAGACTCATATTATGGCTGGCACGTTGCTGGATAACGCCCTTTTTTGTATGGGAAACAAAAAGAAATGCCATTTGCATTAACAATTAGACAATTGGCGCCCCGCTTTTGGACGAATTCATAAGTTAATACAGATGAGCTAGAGTCATTCTCATATATCATTCCTGCTACTCGCCTTACGACATCTGCGCTGAGCCAGCACTCTTTACTTATACTATATAGAATATATATGTAAATATATATATATATATATATATATATATATATTGTATAAATTTCATGTTTATCCATATGTCTAAGGCAATTCAAAACTGCGAGTCACCTGTTCACGATCGATTCGATTACAGCGCGATTCCAGCGCGTGCTCCAAAAATCAAATAGAACTCAGAGAGTCAATACAAAATGGCTACGCGTCTGCCCTAACTGCCTTTGGGTGTGTGTGTGTGTGAGTGCCTGTGTGTGTATACCTGATAAGAAGTCATTGTTGTACAATTGTATAACATTTCTCTTTTGGGCTACTGGTATTGAGTTTCCATTCTTCAAATATGGGACTTACAAACGATAATTGTTATGGCTGTTTGCTCTTTTGTCGGAGAGTTTGTTGTAAGAATTGGGAAAGAGAGCAGCTCAATTGGTGTTTATTGAAAGCTATTGAGTTTTGTAGCTTATGGAACTCATTAAAATAAGACACATTGATATTTAAGCTTGGAAATAGGGAATGAAACAGTCATAAGCTGTGCTTAACATGATGAGATCTTTTAATGAGAAGCAAATAGATGAAAGCAGCTTGCATTATAATTTGTAAGGTTAGGATCGTGGCATAAGCTCATCAAAGTGAGCCATTAATGAATTATAAGGCTTAGAAACGTGGAATGAAACATTTCTAAGCAGCTCAAATTAACAAGCGAAGATGTTTTAATGCGAAACAAATATTTCTTTAGACACTCATTATACCTTGCGAGGTTAGGAACGTGGCATGGAACAACATTGCTATAACTGAGCATTTTCGCCTGTAAACGTGGACTGAAACAATTTGAGCATGCTGTAGTTGGCATTTTAATGAGTTGAAATGGTTTATATATGTTTAAAAATGGGAATTGAGTTCCTTTTAAATATATATTTGTGAGATAAGAAATTTGGAATGAAACAAATATAAATATGTTTCTACTCTGCTCAGAAATAATTTAACTATTAGCTGTAAGACGAGGCAAGAGTATCATTAAATCATCTCAATTTTATTTTAACTTTTGAGTAGCTTAGGAACATGGAAAGAAACATATGAACTAGGCCCTAATGGCTAGTATAATAAGTTTTAAGCAAGTACAAGTTTTTTTTTCAAGCTAATGGAGCCTTGATTATAATTTATGAGCTTAGGCACATGGAATCGAACATTTGAACTTAGCTTAAAAGCCAATTACAATCAATCTAAGTACTGCATGTGATTTTATGACACAAATATGGCATACTCCGAAAAGCTAAACCAGTTGTTGAATTTTAAATATAATAATAAAAACGGTTAAACCTAAGAACTTTTCTAATGTGCACATAAAAATTGTAGAAATATGAACATATAGATAGCATCTAATAATTTGCAATCATACTACTCCGATCCCATAGAAATATCTTGTGCAGTTATACAACTTTATTTCGCATAGCTTTGAGCACAGTTCGTAACTAATTAGTGCCAAGAAAATTGTTGTAGTTTATCTAAAGAGCAGCAAATCGACGATAAAAAGTGGCTGCACTATAGTAAGAAGTGAACGACTGGCAGATACCCTAAGATTTTTGCAATGAACTGTTGGCACTGTGTGAGGCATACAATACGTGTAATGCTGTGTAGGTATAATAAGTTTCGAGATCGACAGACATAAAAGCTGACCAACGAACGGAGTAATGGATCGATACATGAGAGACAGATGGATGGACAGTCGAAAGTTGGAAAGACAAAAGAAACGCAGAAGGTCGAACAGGTAGGACTGATGGTCTAACAGACGAACCTACGGGCAGACATTCGAAAGAACGGACGAACAGACCTACATAAGTATGAAGAGTGGATGTTCTGGCAGACGAACTACATTCGAAAGGACGGATGGAGTCTGACAACGGACGGAAAAAAGGGAAATATATTTTGATCAAGCCATCATATCCTACTTCGCAGTTTTAATAGGGTATAAAAAAGCTGCTGCAATGACAAAACCTAAGTGCTACGCAATGGTAAGGGGAGCTGATGTGTGGGGGCCAAATAGTATTTTTTACGCTCGTTATTATTTGGAGTAAACAAGAATTACGCGTAGTCAGCCTGAAAAAAGTTTTTTTGCTCCAAGTTGTTAGCCAGTTGGTCTGGCCATAATATTTGGCCAGACATTCAAATGGTAGCAGCGACTGAGATGCCATATTCAAGTTGTATGGCTCGAATCAGTTTGCAGTGCGCCCCGCGATCACAGCTTGGCAAACTGATTCGTATGCAAGACTTGATTTTGGCGACCATAAATGTAATAAATCATTTAACGCGTGCTTGATATTATTACATTTTATATATATATGTATCTATATATATATATATATAAATCTTGACGTATTTTGGTCTGTAAGTCGCATAGTAAAGCGAATATTTTACTCACACCTTCACTTCTCTCACACCTTTTTGCCAGCTGTCGCAGTTGCTGTCCGAGTGCGCCGCCATGCAAGGCGAATGCGACGAAAGCGAAATGGAGCCTGTTTGTGGCACAGACGATCAGACCTATCCCACACGCTGTCACCTGCTGCGGGTGCAGTGCAGCGGTCATCAGGTTAGCCTCAAGCATCGCGGCAATTGCAAAGGTAAGATTTCGAACTTTAACTGGGTTTTCCTTGCAATTTATCTCTCTCTCTCTCTCTCTTTGTGCCTGCAGGCTGTCTAGTGGCACGTCAGTACGCTAAGCGCGAGCGTGAACGCAATCCGAAAATATTCTTTCCGCGCTGCCGCAACGATGGCAACTATGCAGCCGTACAGTGCTTGGGCGACACGGGCTGCTGGTGCAGCGACAGCAGCGGTAATCCCATTAAGAACACCTCGACGCGTCGCAGCCGGCCCAAGTGCAGCGCGTACAGGCGCAGCAATCGTCGTAGATCGCCTCAGCGTCAGCTCAACTCGGACGGGGATAGCCGTGAAGCTGGCAACGGACATCGTCCTTGCAGCAAAACGGATCGTCAAGCATTCAATAGTCATTTAATCGAATTGCTGCGCAGCGAACACGTCAGATCCGGCCAGACGTTGCCAGCTGGTGGCTTGAGCGATGCAGCTTTATTGGATTGGAAGTTTGCCCAAATGGATGGGAATGCCAATCAGTTGCTGGACAGGCAAGAAGTGCGTGAGCTCAAGAAGCTTGTCAAGCGGGTGAGTAGCTATTGCTGTAGCTGTCGACGTCACTCAGTCACCACAATACAACTCGTAACACTCTATTTTGTATGCACACAATACACACACACTCACACACACAGGCGGTTAAGCCCAGACGTTGTGGACGTGCCTTTGGCAAATATTGTGATGTCAACAGAGACGATAGCCTGTCCCGTCTGGAATGGAGCAGCTGCCTGACCAAAGATGCCAGTCAACGTAAGTAGCTCTTCAAATATAGTATAGAATACTTAACTGCATGGGAGTAGTACCAACACAATATGAGAATCACATAGAGTGGCAATGCATGATACCAATTTTAGACTATATTGCATGGATGACATTTGTACATATGAATATTGAGTTGCATAAATATATATACATATAGTATCTTGACTGTCCAAGAATCACAGAGAAAGGCAGTAGAATCAATGGCCGACTAGCTCATAGTAGCTTGGTTTTCATTAATTTACCATCTATCTATCTATCTATAGTCATTAATCAATGTCCGTAAATAATGTACCTTGTGAGAATCACAGAGAAAGACATTGACTTTTGCCAGCATGCTTAAATGAGTAAGGCCAGTACTTTGACTATGTGAGAATCACAAAGAAAGGCGGTGCATGAAATAGTTTTTCTAGTCTTTTGCATGAATACAAGTATTTGTTATATTACCTTACCTTAACCTTAAATGTTGATGTTGATGTTGATGTTGTGTGTGTTTTCTGTTTTTTGTTTCCATCTACCAACAAAATTCCTGCCCCCGCCATCTACAGGTAAACTGTTGACAAGCAGTCCAACGATCAGCCCCATTATATCGCCCACAATACCACGTCGCACGCACTATAACATACACCATACAAATGTAAATCAAGATCATACAAATACGAATAAAATCGGAGGCAATTCGCGTATCCATGAGCTGGGCAATGGAAGCGAGGAGCGCGACGATGATGACTATACGGGCGAGGCTGAGGACTCGAGCATGACACAATATTCACATCGCATATCGCCAGTTAATTGTACGTACCTGTTGGGCTACGAAACTAACTAATTTATTTTTGAATAATACATCCAAGTAACATCCAATAGCACTTGGCATGCTTTCAAAGGGCAGTATCGAGTCTATTCTAATGGGCCTTTCGTTCACAGTTCTGATGGACAAAACAGCTGAGACAACGAACAACGACAGCGAAGTCGATGCCAACTGCTGGACAGATCGAGCAGTGGCACGCGAAGAGCAGCGCGTAAGTCCAATTGGATCCAACTAGTTAATGCCCAATTACCCGATCTCCCAATAGTCATGCAACGATGTTAATGTACAACCATTTTCAGCATGACGGCAACAGATCCTTTTATGTTCCCGAATGCATGCCCGATGGTCGCTATAAGCGCGTTCAATGCTATAGTTCCATCTGCTGGTGTGTCAACGAGGAGACGGGCAAGAATATTCCCGGCACCTTTGGTCAGACGAGACCTCAGTGCGATGAGGTTAGCGCCGTGCGACCCATGAAAGGCTGCACAGAGCCACGAAAGACTCAATTTCTCAAAGAGCTCAAAGGGTTTCTCAATACACAAATATTACCCAGCAGTAATTCGGGGTAAGTTGATGACAATATTTATCTTTGCTGTAACTAAGTTCAATGTGAAAATCTAGAAACTCGACTATGTGGAAGTCGGAGGATGAACGCATTGCTACGCTGAGCTTCGTTTTTCTGGACAAAAACAAAAACAAATCGTGGGAGCGTAAGGAATGGAAGGTCTTTCGTGACCTGGTCACCAGATCCAGGTAAGGAAGCTTACCAATTAACTTTTAAAATGTTTTAATTTCAATAAAAACCTTCTTTGCAGCAATTTGAGCAAATGCGGCAAAAAATTGCCACGCTATTGTGATGCGAATGACGATAAGATAATCTCGTTGTCCGAGTGGTTGAACTGTTTGCAATCACAACGAGCGGAGAGCACCACCACTGCAAAGCCGGCACAATCAAGTAAGTGTTGAGTAGTTCATACAAGTTCTTACTAATTCTCTCTCTTTTTCTCTTAGACGAGACGGCCACGTCACGGCTCCTGGGATCCAATCCGCTGGAGCAATATCTTAAAGATTAGTTTTTTATAATGATGAACGTTGCTTGTTTTTGTGCTGCTACTCATTAGATGTCGTGCCATGCTGCGTGGAAGTGCTTGAATATATTCACTCACTCATTCACATATATATATAAATATATATATATATATATATATATATATATATATATATATATATATATATATATATATATATATATATATATATATATATATATATATATATATACATATATATATACACTCACACTCACCCGCACACACACTCACATTCCTAGCATATAGATTCTACGATTCACATATGTATGTAATTAGTGTTGTAAATATTAATGAATATAACTGTTTAGGTTAATTGTAATGAAACGTTGATCACAAGAAGATCATGTTTAATATGTTTGAATATTTTTATTGGCGCGCATGCAAGTGCAGCCAACTTCACGGCAGCCAACAATAGACTCTCTACTATGCTCAAATTTGCGTCACTTAAAGTTGGCTGCACACGCATACTGCTCAAATGTTGCCCGCCAATGGGCTTATCGATAAGCATTTTAGTTTAGTTAAAACTGTAAAATCGCGTGTTTCACTTTATTTGGTTAGCAAATTAATACTAAATAATTATATATATATAGATTTATATATCGGTAAAACTGGCTACGTTTCGTGAATTATGTACATACTTAACAGTTTCCCAAATGCATTCATTGTTCACAGAACAGAGCAAATGTTGATTACAAAATTAGGTAGTTTTTGGTTTACTTAATAACAAACTTGACAAATTGCTGTATGGAAGCTCAAATGCCATTGAAAAAACAATGGACGCCAGGTAGACAACCAATGTGAAGCCACAGCAAGCAATGCACTGAAATAAACAGAAGCTTAATATAATCATTTATAGATCCATAGAGCTACATACCAGCGTAAAGGGATCTGCATGAGTGCTGGAGCTAGTGAGGCCATATATTAAGGAGATTATCATAGGATTGAGCAAATAGAAGGCATAGGCTAGACGATTCAAATGCTGAAAGCAACGCGCCTCCAGCAGGCGAGACCACCAAACACCTCGACCCGTGGCACTGCCCACGATCATCCAGCAAACACTCAACGAGAAGCAAATACGACCCAAGGAAAACAGAGAAACGGTTAACATGTAGCCAAAATCCCTTTTCATTGTCGAATAGATGCAGATTAAAAAGACAAACAAGCTGAAATGCCAGAGCCAACGTTGCTGCCCCTCACTCAATGTGTAGCTCACACGTCGCTCGGCCAGGCAGCAGGCTACTATGGAGCCCAATATATAGGGCAGCACGCGTACAAAGGGACTTATGTAGATCTCTGTGCCGGTGCCATAGACTATGTCAAAAGAGAACTCAAAATTGTTTTTGATGCCAATGCCAAAGGACCACACAATGTTGCCCAACAAGCCAGCGATTGTCAGCAACTTCGCCGACTTGGGATGCCTAAAAATAAAGAGATTATAATAGAGTGCATCAAATTAAATCGTAATCAACTTACTTGACATATAGAAACAATATGGCATTTGCAAGTAAAAAGAATTGCATATCACATGCCAGGCTCCAGCTCCAGTTCACGCACAGATCGTTGAACTCAAACAAATTCTGTATGAAGAGCAAATTGCGCCACCAATGCTGACTACAAATCTCATCGAAGCGGTTGAAAATGTGATAGACTGAAGTGTCGCCAATGTAGGCAAAAACCAGATCCACGCTACCAATGACAATGAGGTAAAGAGGCACAAGTCTCAAATAGCGATGAAAAAGTAACTTGCTGAAGAGCTTCACATTGGCCAACGAACCATTCTCACGTATTGCCTGCAATTGCTTTGAGTTGCGTAAAAAGTTGTAAGTCTGCAAAAAACCACTGCAAAGACACAAGAATAAGTGGACAAAAGAGCACAGATTAGCAAAAGCTTCTTGAAATGCGCTTATCAAGAATCTGATTGGGTGTGTTATGAACTAAGACTAAAACTCCTAGCCCCACCTTTTACGCACCTGATGGTAAAGAAGACATCCACTAGCAACGGAGCCGATGATATGTACTGAAAGAAAATATGTTCGCCATAGGCCAAAAGCGTCGCCTTGTTGTGCACCGTGAAGTACATATACCACATCACATGAAAGAACAATATGCATATGGCACACACAGAACGGAGTCCATTGAGCAGGGGTATTTCTGTGCAGTTATTCTCACGCGTGGCAACAATTCTTCGCCAATTTCTGGCCACATCGTAACAGCTGACAAAACTCTGCAAGGGACGCCACTTGAGCAGAAAGTGTAAGGCTCTCCAGATTTCCGATTCAACTGGAGCGAGACCAGCGCCGTCCACATGCCCATCCGCTGGCAGCTGCTTGGCCACGCTCAGCTGCTGAGCACAGAGCATGAAAGCACAAGTAGCCAACACAAAGCCCACAATGAGCTTGAAGCTCAGCCTCTCATAGAATACATCTCTCAGCTTAAGATCCTTAACGTATAGCACCTCGGGCTCCAATTCAAAGATGTCGCTATCCTTGAAACTGCCTGCCACATAATCGCTAGCCAACTGTTGTATCTCGCTCGAATGACACGAGCTGGGCAAACAGAGACCAATGTGTATGATTTGCTCAGACATCACCTTCAGCTCCACCTGCCAAGGTGACTTGTGTCGCAAATAGATAACACGATAATCCATATCAAAGGGCGACTGTTGTGTAATTAGTCCATTGTGCATGTTACGCTTGTAGTGTTTGGATAGTGTTATGCCCAGAGGGCGCTGTATGCTGGTGCAGGCGTCTCGACTGCCCAGCCAAAAGTTTTGGCCAAAGACAAAGCCCGAAGATTTGCCACCCGAAGCATCGAGCGCTGTACAAAAGTAAAAGGTAAGCTCTTAAACCGTTATGAGAGTTCGATCAGTAATCAATAAGTAATCACCTTTTAGAGCCCAAGGCTGTTTGTTGAGGATGCTGCGCTGCACGTGCTTCAGCTGTGCATGACAAATGGCATTCACATTGCTCGCATTGGCCACTTCTATCAATCCATAAATAATGGAGCTCTGCGCGAGCAGTGCTTCATGCCTGTCTGTCTTAGCTCCATCGTCATCATCCTCGACGTCATCTGCATTTACTGTCACAGTCACTTCCAAGTCCTTGTTCGACCAAATACTTTTACTGCCATTAAGAATCGCATGACTGTATGACTGCAGCTGCAGTGTCGATTCATTCTGTTTGCCAACGCAATTGCTAAACAGGAGGCTTAGCCAGAGGGCTGCTATAGCTATACCACATCCGTATCGTGGCATATCTAACTGTAAGCAAAAGCCAAATGAATCAGTTGCATTGTCAATGCTATATGAATATAGTTGAGTGTTCGCTTGACAAGTATGCAAATACAATTAGTGGAGAGCTGTAGAGCAATGCAGCAATACGGCAGTACATAGTCATACATCATTCAGTGCTTCCCAGCGGAACTCTATTTGCGTAGCTTTCCTGAGTTGTCCAAGAGTTATCTAAATTTAACAAATAGCCTACTCATTAGCTGTTAATGACAATGAGCCATAGATCAGAGCAGGGCTACCTCGGCTATAAAGAAATCAAGTTCAAATATCCATTACCCCAACCCTCTACTCGCTCACAGCTCAGGTTTTTTTCCTTTTTGGACATATTGTAAGTGCGTTTCAATGTCAGCTTATGACGTTTTCTATATACACATAGCTAACAAACACATAAAATAAAAACAACGAGAAAAAACAGTTAAAATCACAAGTCACTTGAAGGTTTATGGGGTGTCTGTCAATTACGAACTTGCCAATAATATTGCCTCCAATGCCCTCTTTGCAATTCGTTCCAAAATTAAACTCATTGCTCTGCTCTGAAGGTTTTTTTATATTTATTTTAAAAGCAAAAACTATAAGCTAAGCTTAGCTGTTGGCTAAAACAATTATTTCTTACTGTGAGATCTAAAAAAAATCGTTGTCTAGCTGACATTTAGCTAGATGCTATGGTACCTTTCCTTGTACTGCAAATTTTAGTGCTTAAAAGAGCTTGACTGACACTTAGCTGAGTGCTATAAGCACATTGCCTTAGATCTTTCATTAGCAATTGAGTAATGATCTAAAACACCATAACCTGGCTTTTATTTATAATAATAAGTGATCAGTCGAAAGTTTAGTAGCTTATTATTATTGTTGTCATCTAAGACTTCTTTACGCTAATACTTATAAATCCAATATATTTACTTTATGAAGTGATTTGCGATCTAAAACTACTTTACCTGCCTATTATTAGCCTTATGATCGAACTATAAGTATCTTCTATCTTTTTTTTGCGTTATTAATTGCGAATTATGTTAAGCAGTGGGTAAATATGTTTTCAGGAATAATTATAAATATTTGCACAGTTGTTCAGCAAAATTAAATGAGACAACTGCAGAGACATTTGCTGAAATGAAGCCCTGCGGCTTGAGCAAACAGTGCGACATGTGTAAAAAATCAGAAAACCAAATTTAATTCATAAAAAAACATATATATATATATATATATATATATAGGTGTCTGACATAGTTTTTTTCTGCTTTAAGCTGCTGTAAGCCCATTTCGATAGCTGGTTAGTTAATTGCTCTTCGATGAAACCATTTCAAGGGCAAACCCGCCTTTGGCTTTTGCATCTCTTTTTGTTATAATTTTTTCTTCTTTTGCCTCTGCTGCTGCATCTTCTTCTTCGGTTTTTTGGTTATACACTATGCGAATGAGCCGGTACCTTCACCTTTAGTGGGATCCGTTTCAATAATGCCCATTTTTGGCAACATATAAGCCATAAAAAAGGCAGCAGGTGTTGCAATCGTATATTTGGCAGCTCATTTGATTTCGAGTTTGAAGATTGCGTTTGGGTGTTAATATAATGAAAATGTTTTGCAGCAGAGTTTGCTTTGCAGATCGTAGGTTTGGGTCTTACTCTATAAATATTATTATTATTATTATGGAAGTCAATGAATATTTTAGACCTAAGTCAATATATAGTCAACGGCGGCTGACTGAGTGCAGTGGACATTTCAACACTGGCGTTGACATGGCTATTGCGACAGCCCTTTTTATGTCGATCATTAAGATTTGTAATTCAACATGCTTTGAGATAAACTCAACTTATTTCAAGTTCATAAAAGAATTAATGCAATTTTAATTGAGTTTCCCCTTATTTTCAACATTTATTTGTTTTATTGAAGCCATTCAAACACCCTTTTATTTGGGTCACTAAGACTTGTTGAGTGTCTTAATTAAAGTTAATGTTAACTTGTTTAAATTTTAAAAATAATTTCGTTTTATTTTACTGTATTTTCTATATATATCTCAATTGTTTTGTTGGCTCTTCACATCATTTAAATATATATATTTAAATTATTGGCATTTAGTTCATTTAAGGAGTTCTTAAAGATTTATTTATTTACTTCATTGGATCACCTTATTTATATAGATTTCTTATTGGCTTATTTTTTATTACTTAAAATTAGAATTTACTTTTGTTTTTTAAATAATTACTTGTTTTTGTTTTTAAATAATTAAATAGAAATTGTTTTTCACTTTGACTTAAAAAAAGGTTTTCCAAACATTTTTCACAATTTATATTCCAATTATTTTCCTTGGCGTTTTTAGCATATTTTTTAAATTATTTAATTTTTTAATACATTTTCTTAAGATTTATTGTTTGATTTATTTTGAGGGGAAGTTTACATATTAAAATTTTCAATTAACTCAATTTATTTGGTTTAATTTTTTTTTCAATATATTTCGTTTACGCTTCATAACATTATATATATAATATAAATCATATATTTAATTGGTTCACTTGATTGGGATTTGGAATTTAACTTACTTTTAAACACAGTTAGCTTATTTAAATGATCGCAACAAATTAAATCACTTTCGAATTTGCTCCAAAAAATTTCTTATATTCGTATTATTTCGTTAGACCTTTGCGCTAATTTGGCTATATTGAAGCATTCGTAATACCGAAAGACTAAAACATATTATAACATCACAAACAGAGAGGGGGGAAAAAACATTAATCTAAATTCGCTTAATTTTCAGCTTGACTTTGCGCACGTCTGAGTTTTACCGCGAAACTGCTGCGCCCAGCGTCTTTTCTTTAACATTTATAAACTCGGCAAACTCGAAGCGCAGCACGTGAACAGGTAGCAGCGGCAGCGGCGGCAGCAGCGGCAGCCGTCACAGCATCAGCCGCAGCAGCTGTCAAAAGATTCAGCGACAACAACAACAGCAACAAAGCGTAACACCTCATCAACGCGAAACCATCAAAACAAAACGTTTTCAGCTCGCTTGGTGACTTTTTTCGTAACTCCCTTAAAGTATTTGTTGTAATTGCTGTACGTCTGTCTGTCTCTGTATGTCTATGTCCTTCTGTCCAGCATTTACCGGCGCGCATATCATATAGAGTACGGCGTACAAGGTGACCGTGTAGTTCTTGTTTATCATTGGCGGAGAATTCTGATCCTCTGCGTTCATTGCACTGACTTGATAATGAGCACTTTATAGCAAGTATACTCAATAACAGTGTATAAATATAGTATTATATTATTATATAGTATTAACTTTTAGCACTTACAAGAAATGTATGCTTAAGAATTCGTACAGATACGAATTTTGTAAACTATTTCGCTAATTGTATGTTTAAATTTATTTTGTATTAAGTAACAAACAAACAGGGAGGGGTAGCGAAATACAGGGGGTGATATAATGTAGAAGTTGAGAGAGAGAGAGAGTTAGAGAGGTAGGGTGACATAGTGATATGCAGATATGATTTAAATTTCCTAAAGAATCATGCAAAGTGAGATTGAAAGTGATATAGCGAGAGAGAGAGAGAGAGTACTTCGTATTTCTTAATTTCAGGCACAGTGAAAATACTATTTGAATACAAGAATGTGGCGCGCGCAACTACATGAAATGCTGGCAACGCTCTATAAACGAATTTTAAAACTCATGCGGTCACACTCGAAGCAAGTGGCAGCACTGCACCCAGGGCTGCGTTGGAACTTGCAAACAATGTCAATCGCTATCGGCAGTCATAGCAGGTCGAGAAACCATTATAAAATAGCAAAAATTAAAGTGAAATGACGCGAAAATAAAATCGTCAAAAAAAAAATAATTTAAAAAAAAATAATAATAATGTGTAACGACGCGCAAACGACAATGATTAAACGGTGCAATTGCTAAACGAAATATAGTCAAAACGAGAACAAATACTGCGCAGCATAAAAATCCAGCTTCAGGAAAAGAGTCATAAAAATCGATTCTCCAACAAAAAGTCACAGTCCACACAGTCAAGAGACGGCCAGAGGGAGACTTTTCGCGCGGGCGTCGGTGGAGCGCCCAGTGCTTGTTTTTTCTTCTCTTCTTTTTTGCCTGCTTACTTGCCAAAAGTCCAGCCAAGACACTGCGCGTGTGTTTGTGTGTGTGTGCGCGCTTATTATTTGCTTGCAAAAGCAAAATCAAGTGCAGGATAAACTAATCAACGTAATTAGGAGACAGCAGTAATATAATTTTAGGCAAATATTTAAACGTCTGCCCAAATAATAAAGCGTGCAAATACAGTTGAATTCCAGCACACACCAGCCACAACAATAATAATAATAATAATAGTGTCTGCATATGTGTGTGTATGTGTATTTGTGTAATAAATAGCGCAAGTCAAGAATGAAATGGAAACAAGGCTCCCCCGCTACATGACGTACCTCAGCTACAATAACAACAACAACAAATACAGCTAAAGCTCCATCTACAGTTACTTTTAGGCGTGTGCGTGGCGCTAATTGAAACGCTCACTATTCCAAGCTCTCTAGCGCCCATCCTCCCCCTCGCTTTTGTGACTCACCTGCCACCCAAACAAAATATATTAGATTGCGTGCCACACACATAATTCTCAGCGGGCTCAATAAAAAGAAGAAAAAAAAAATAATACGAAATATCAGCGAACTACAATAACAAGAATACCGTCCCAGTCATATCCCTTTATACGTATATATATATATATATATATATATATGTATTTAGTTTTGGTGGTTGCATGATTCACCCACTGAACGACTCAAACCATAGACGTCGAAGCGTCTAATAAAAAGTGAGAGTTTATACATATTAAGAAGGCCTACAAGATGTCAAGTGATAAGATCAAAGTTGCTGTGCGGGTGCGACCCTTCAATCGGCGCGGTAAGTAATAATTTATAAAAATACGTATGGAAAAGCTAACTGTAAAGCTGAACCAAAGTATCCAACGGACTTCATCCATGCAGTAGCTGGAAGTGCTTTCTTTCAGCTTTGTCTCTTTTGTCTGCGCTGCAATCAATAATGCATAAGTCAGCTGAATATACTCATACACATATATATTTGAATATACATATTTCTATATATCTGTGTTATATAGGTATATATAAAATGTGCTTGTACTTTATTTTCGGGGATAACAAAATTTGCATAGAGTCGCGAGCTTAGCTGCTTTTCTTTGCCCTTGCTTGAAGTATGACGAGGAGCAGCAGCAGAAGCAGGTGTGTATGTGTGTAGGTGTGAATAGTGTATTAGCAATAGCACAACATGTATATAGTTTAGGTTCTGTATTGAGTCTAGATACATTTGCCTCTACTCTTCTACTGCTGCTTTTCTTCTGTTTTAAAGCTACCTGAAAGCAATTAGGCAGTCTATTTTGATGTAGATTGTTATGTGTGAGTCCATAGAGCTGACTGTACAGTATCTACTCTCTAAAACGTACTATTTAACAACGGCAGCTACCTAGACACTTGCCAAAACAATATACGTAATCAGATAGGTTTTACATATATATATAATAGATTATATATATATATTAGATATATTATATTATTTAACAGTATATATATTGTGTACTATATGAGCAATCGAGCCTAAATAGTTTCAACATGTTTTTAACCAAGCTAATCTCTTAAGTTTAAGCAGATATCTTGCAAGAGCTACTATTTAGTATAAGTCCCAACTACACATATATTTGCCGGAAGTGAAGCTATACAAATCTTTAACCATGTGTCAACTAGGGTATTTTTACTTCGTTGGCCCTCCAGTATAAATGGGTTTTGCGTTCTTGTTTTTCATGCAAATGCTGTTTCCTTTGCAAAGGTCGCCTCGTTTTTCAATGCAACGCCAGCAACTTTTTTGCAATGGCCAGCCTTGCAGAGCGTCTAACTGACTGACTAACTGGCTAACTGAGTGACTGACTGACTAACTGAGTGACTGAGTGACTGACTGGCTTTCGTAACAAGCGCTTTACATTTCCAGCTAATTTTTCATGAGGTGAAACTGACGACGAGTGTTGCAAGTGCTGCAACCAAAGCAAAGGAGAATAGCAAATATATAAAAGCCAAACATCGCGTTTCCACTTGGCCAATGTCAACGGCGATCATTCATTTGGCTTATCCATGACTCAACACACATGCATACCCAGTAGCCAATGCAACGGAAGTGTGGACTCTATAGGAGGGGAGACATCGTGCACAGCGGCATTCAATTTGCGCCCCTTGCCAAGTGGAAGTCATTTGCCATTTGCCATTTACTTTTCGCATGTGTTTTTTTTATTGTTTTGTATTTTGTCATGTTTTGTGTATCACTTGTTCCTTTCGCTCTGCTTCCATCTGCTGCTATTTTCACACACACTCACACCCGTTGTCCAATCACTTCGTTATTTGGGGCTGGTTTGTGTCATGTTCCTCTATACACTTGATTCACTGCCAAGTCAGGAGAGAGAGAGAGCGAGAGAGATGTGATAATATGTGTGAATGTCCGATTGATAAGCGGAACAAGGTACCTGCATACATACTTATACGCGTCACTCTTATCAGACTGTTGATAAGGACTGATATGTACGCATATTTGTACTATTAATATTAACTATACTATACTATATAGCCATATTATTACAAACGTAATCGCCTAGTTTTTTCTCATCAATATTTTGTAATTATATTTTATTTGACATCTTACGCATTGCTCCGCTTTTAGGCCACATTGCTGCTGAAGACCTCTTCAAGTCACAAAGCGTAAAATGAAAAATATTGAAACAACACACACACTCACACAACATACAGTAAACACACTCACACACATAGAAGAAACGCAAACAGTTGCGCTTGAAATGAAGTCACAGCGCGAAAGCAACCAAAAAGCTTAACCTGTTTTCCCTGCCTGCTGCTGACCAAATGTCTATCTAAATCTCTGTGTGTGTGTGTGCTTGAGTGTGCGTTGGTGTATGTGTGTGTGTGTATGTTAATTTCAACATTGTACAATGGCAAACGCGTCTGCCACAGTTTCAGGTTAAGTCGAAGAAATATCCAAATCAACTGAACTTAACAGCGAAGCAAAATGCTTCAGCTTCAGCTTCAGCTGACCAACTGACCAAAACTCAATTCACAATTGGGGGCAGACCATCAAATAATTTATGGCAAGCCTTTGTTGCAGGCCACACACAACCGCACAACAGCCACAACAACTCGTTGATGGGCCCTGTTGATGTGTGTCCTTTGTGGTTTCCCCAACATTCTCGATTTCTCAACTCTGGCTGCCCTGCACTGGCCTGCCCTTTGGCCAATGTCCTGCATGTCATGTCGGCTTTTGTTTTGCAACGGAAGTGACTGTGTTGTGTGTGTGTATATATACACACAGATGTTAGCCATATGCTTGTAAAGTACAGTGAGGCCTCGGCAAGTGGAGGTTCTGCTCTTGTGTTATTGAAACTCGGAAATTTAATTTGAGGTCATATGAACATATTCAAATACAATTTATGTCTTATAGAAAACTTGTTAAATTTCTGAGTAGATTCCTTTCGGAGAGCTGCCTGTGTGCTCAGTCTATGCAGCCTAACTATGCCCAAGTAGAGTTTATATGCAGCTGTATTTCAATAATTCATAATAGACTTTTACCCATCGACCTGTTTTGGGGGAGTTGGGTGTAATGTGTAGCAGACCTGACTTGAATAGGTATGTGCTACTTACAAGAATGCCCCACAACGAATGACATGTCTTTAGCTATTCTAGTTTATGACTTCGATGAGGTTGAAAAGATAAATACGAACTTAGATATTCTACAACTAGTCAGCGCTTACAGCAAGTGGAAGCTATTCAAATAATACATTAACTACGGCTAGTTACTAATTGAATTGGTAATCTCTTATGGTTTCACTGTACTTTATTCACTTTTTGACCTGCCAGTCTGCCTGTCTGCCTGCCTGGCATCCTGTTGGCTTTTTCTTTGTTTGGCTCGCTGCCTTGCTTACGTGCAAAGGACAATGGCCAGCAGTGAAGTGCTCAAATATTTTAGCAAATTCTACTCCTATTTTTATTGCCATGTTTTATCCGTGTTTAGCTCTAAGTTGTAAATATTTCAGCCCAGAATATTTATTGCGCTGCACGTTTTGGGCAACAGTCAGTTTTTTGTTGCTGTTTCTGAAATTGCAATTATTTGAAAGGTTCGCGTTTTTATTTATGTGCATAAAGATTGCGCTAAAGCATTGGACTTGGCATTACATACAAACAGAAATAAATACACACATATATATGCAGTCATTTATCGCTCGATTATACAATGTACAGACATAATATATACATGTGTATATAAAATTCCACTTATTGTTGTTATTTCTTCGCACATATGTACGAAATCAGCTGACTTGCGGCTGCACATATCTATCATATATAAATACTATATATATTTAGCAAATATATATTTCGCTTTTGCTATTCTGAACTTGTTATCAACCTTGTGCTGAAAATAACTTGAATTCTACTTATCATATACACATTACATGAATTATAATACATATAGAAATTTTTATAATATTCATCTCCTTTGCTTTACAGAAATTGAATTGGGTACAAAATGCATTGTCGAAATGGAGAAGCAGCAAACCATTTTGCAAAATCCCCCGCCATTGGAAAAAAATGAAAGGTAAGCTAATTAATCTTGACATAGTTGTTAACACACCCCCTCACTGTATGTATACCTCTGATTCATGCAGAAAACAACCAAAGACATTTGCATTCGATCATTGCTTCTACTCACTGAATCCCGAGGATGACAGCTTTGCGTCACAGGAGACGGTTTTCGATTGTGTGGGACGTGATATACTGGATAATGCATTTCAGGGCTATAATGCATGCATCTTCGCCTACGGCCAGACAGGTAAGTGTATATGGCCATAAGGCATCAACACAGTCGTGACTCACACTGTTTTCCTCTCTCTTTCTCCCTTCGTTTTAATAGGCTCTGGCAAATCGTACACAATGATGGGCTCACAGGAGAACAAGGGCATTATACCGCGTCTCTGCGACAAGCTCTTCTCGGCCATAGCGAACAAATCGACACCGGAACTCATGTACAAAGTGGAGGTATCCTATATGGAGATCTACAATGAGAAAGTGCACGATCTGCTCGATCCCAAGCCCAACAAGCAGTCGCTTAAGGTGCGCGAACACAATGTTATGGGTCCCTATGTGGATGGGCTGTCGCAGCTAGCTGTCACATCTTATCAGGATATAGACAACCTCATGACCGAAGGCAACAAATCGCGTACTGTGGCTGCCACTAACATGAATGCCGAATCTTCGCGATCTCATGCCGTCTTCTCAGTCGTGCTAACACAAATACTCACCGATCAAACAACTGGCGTTAGTGGAGAGAAAGTCTCACGCATGTCTCTAGTCGATTTGGCTGGTTCCGAGCGTGCAGTCAAAACGGGCGCCGTTGGCGATCGTCTCAAGGAAGGCTCTAATATAAACAAGTGAGCTATGCCCCTAAAGATCTCTTTATCTATTCTTATTAATGTTTCTATATGCTATTATAGATCCTTGACCACACTGGGCCTGGTCATTTCCAAGCTTGCTGATCAATCGAATGGCAAAAAAGGAGGCAATGATAAATTTGTACCCTATCGAGATTCCGTGCTGACTTGGTTACTAAAAGACAACCTTGGCGGCAATTCCAAAACAGTTATGGTGGCCACCATTTCGCCCTCTGCGGACAACTACGAGGAGACGCTGTCCACGCTACGGTATGCGGATCGTGCCAAGCGCATTGTCAACCATGCTGTGGTCAATGAGGATCCCAATGCACGTATTATTCGGGAGCTGCGCCATGAAGTGGAGACGCTGCGTAGCATGTTGAAGCATGCCACAGGCTCGCCAGTTGGTGATGTCCAAGACAAATTAGCCGAGAGCGAGAATTTGATGAAGCAAATATCTCAAACCTGGGAAGAGAAACTGGTCAAAACGGAGCGCATACAAAATGAGCGACAGCAGGCGCTGGAACAAATGGGCATCAGTGTACAGGCCAGTGGCATTAAGGTCGAGAAGAACAAGTACTACCTGGTCAATTTAAATGCAGATCCGTCCCTCAACGAACTATTGGTTTACTACCTAAAGGTAGGCTCTGCTTGCACCACATCATTTGAAAGACTATTTAAGCCTTTAATATATTTCAGGAACGCACGCTAATTGGCGGTCGCAGCATTAGTGGCCAGCAACCGGATATACAGCTATCTGGTCTTGGCATACAGCCAGAGCATTGTGTGATCACAATCGAAGATAGCGGCTTGTTTATGGAACCCGTCCAGGGTGCTCGCTGTTTTGTCAACGGGTCTGCAGCGGTGGAGAAGACGCCGCTACAGAATGGTGATCGTATTTTATGGGGTAATCATCACTTTTTTCGAGTCAACTCGCCGAGGATAGGCAACAACACTAGTATGTGCGCGTCGGAGCCACAAACCCCAGCGCAGCTCATCGATTACAATTTTGCTCGAGATGAGATAATGCAGAATGAGCTAAGCAATGATCCCATACAGACGGCAATTGCACGCCTCGAGCGTCAGCACGAAGAGGACAAGCAAGTGGCGTTGGAGAAACAGCGACAGGAGTACGAACGTCAATTTCAGCAATTGCGTAATATACTCTCACCCAGCACACCCTACGCTCCGTATGCGCCCTACGATCCGCTGCGCATGGGCAAGGTAACGCCCAACACGCCCACTTCGCAAATGAGAGTAGAGAAATGGGCACAGGTAAGAAAATAAAAAGACTATATTAATATTTACTACTACATACATACTACATAATGTGTCTACTTCTAGGAACGTGATGAAATGTTCAGACGTTCGCTAGGTCAGCTAAAAACCGACATTATGCGAGCCAATTCGCTGGTGCAGGAGGCAAACTTTTTGGCCGAGGAAATGGAGAAGAAAACAAAATTCTCAGTTACTTTGCAAATACCGCCAGCTAATTTGAGTCCAAATCGACGGCGTGGCGCCTTTGTCAGTGAACCCGCAATTCTGGTTAAGCGCACAAATTCGGGCAGCCAAATCTGGAGCATGGAGAAGCTGGAGAACAAACTGATAGACATGCGTGAGATGTACCAGGAGCACAAGGAGCGCATACTTAATGGACTGGTGCGTGGCAATTCATTTACTGCATCAAATTTTCCATTTTTTTGTCTTCTGTACTAACCATGAAACTTTACGTGTACCTGTATTATTCGCACATGCATTCAATTAACCCTTGATACAGCCCCTTATCGAGACATTCTCAGATGATGAATTCGATGACAAGGTAATTAATAAGTCCCCACACCATCAAACACACTATCTATAGATATAACATAGACAATGTATGCTAATTCAAGTGTACCTTAAACTTATGCTGTGCTAAATTTGCAGGACGAGGACAACGGCAAACCGCAGGATCCGTTCTATGAGTCACAGGAGAATCACAATCTCATTGGTGTGGCCAATGTCTATTTGGAAGTATTGTTCCATGATGTCAAGTTGGACTATCACACGCCAATCATTAGTCAACAGGGCGAGGTAGCAGGGCGCTTGCAGGTGGAAATTCAACGCGTGGCTGGCCAAATGCCGCAGGATCGCATGTGCGAATCGGTTTCTGAGACCTCGTCAGCAGATTCGCGAGATGAATACGATGATCCCGTAGACCCTATGGCCAATCAAATCACTTGCCGTGTCACCATCAAATGCGCCTCCGGATTGCCGCTATCGCTATCCAACTTTGTCTTTTGCCAGTACACATTCTGGGGCCACCAGGAGATGGTAGTGCCTGTAATCAATGCCGAATCGACAGCTCATGATCAGAATATGGTATTCAAATTCGAGCACACTCAAGACTTTACGGTTAACATCAACGAGGAGTTTCTGGAGCATTGCATCGAGGGCGCACTTTCCATTGAGGTCTGGGGACATCGCAGCGCTGGCTTCTCCAAGTCCAAAGGCTGGGAGGTGGAACAGCAACAAGCCAAGGCACGTTCCCTAGTCGATCGCTGGGCGGAGCTATCACGCAAGATCGAACTCTGGGTGGAAATACATGAGCTAAACGACAACGGAGAATACTCACCTGTAGAGGTTACAAACCGCAATGAAGTGCTCACTGGAGGTATCTACCAGTTGCGCCAAGGCCAACAACGCCGTGTGAATGTTCGGGTCAAGCCAGTGCAAAACTCCGGCACATTGCCCATCATCTGCCAGTCGATAGTCAATGTGGCCATTGGCAGTGTGACTGTGCGTTCACGATTACAGCGACCGCTGGACTCCTATCAGGAAGAGGATCTGACAGTGCTGCGCGAAAAGTGGAGCGAGGCGCTGGGTCGCCGTCGCCAATACTTGGATCAGCAAATACAGATGCTCATTAAGAAGGAGGAGAAGAACGAACAAGAACGCGAACGTGAGCTGAGCCTAGTGCATCAGTGGGTCTCGCTGACCGAGGAGCGCAATGCAGTTTTAGTGCCGGCACCTGGATCAGGTATACCAGGCGCTCCCGCATCCTGGGAGCCACCCTCAGGCATGGAGCCGCACGTGCCTGTGCTGTTTCTCAATCTAAACGGCGATGATCTCTCCGCGCAGAATACAAACGATGAGCTGTCCATAGCAGGCATCAATTCCATTCTCTCCAAGGAGCATGGCCATAGATTCTATACACTACAAATCTTGCAGCATCTAGATAAGGATGTATGCTGCGTGGCCAGCTGGGACTCCTCCATGCACGACAGTCAAGCGCTGAATCGTGTGACCGAAGCCAACGAACGCATCTATCTAATATTGCGCACCACAGTGCGTCTATCGCATCCGGCGCCCATGGATCTGGTGTTGCGCAAACGTCTCAGCATAAACATCAAAAAGGGACAAACTCTAACCGATCGTCTGAAGAAGTTCCGATTGGTGCGCGGCGAGAATGCAATTTGGCAGAGCGGCGTCACCTACGAAGTGGTATCAAATATACCCAAGGCCTCTGAAGAGCTCGAAGACCGCGAATCACTGGCACAGCTAGCAGCTAGTGGTGATGATTGTTCCGCTTGCGATGGCGAGACCTACATAGGTAAGCAGCTCACTTACCAAATAAATAAGTATATAGTAATATATTTGATTTGCGCAGAGAAATACACGCGTGGTGTCTCGGCTGTGGAGAGCATATTGATCTTGGACCGTTTGCGTCAAAGTGTGGCAGTTAAGGAACTGGAGACGGCGCATGGACAGCCACTCTCCATGCGTAAGACTGTCAGTGTGCCGAACTTTTCGCAGGTATGTGATGGCGCATAAGCATAACAACAGCTCAAAATGCTAAGCTTCCTTGTGCCTTTTGTGCTTGCACCTTGCCACCCCAGCAGCCGCTAGCAAAATTTTAACTTGTACAATTTACAAGTATTTGACTAAAAACCGCAATTCTTTCTCTTTTCACAATTTCTATGCGCTTTCACCAAAACTAAAACTAAAAAAAAACTAATATATCTAACCCAACAAAAATTATGTTGTTCACACCGCACACTAACAAAATTTGGCGCGGCTAACCAAACTGCAATTGTATATTGATATTATCTAAATCTATGTGTCTGTGCGTGTACATATTTAACTGCCCTGTGCTGTGTATAAAAACAAAACGCTTTTCACTGCGCACACAGACGGTCAAAGAAACCACCACAACCGGGAGTGTAAGTAATCTGTGTGCAATGTACTCGAAACACTATGTAAACTATGCTTTCTAGAGATAATTGCAATACTTTTCCCCCAACTACTTTCAAAATCTCTGTGTGTGTATATATTTGATTTGGATTTTGTTTACATTTCCTACTCCGAAGTTTTGTTTGTGCGCGTTTGCCAGTTATGTTCGGTTTATTTTGATTTTCATTGTGATTTTTTGTTTGTTTTATTCTATTTTTTATTTTCAACATTCTTTTCATATACGTTTGTTAAATAACATTTGTTATGAATATGCTAAATTAAATACGCTATTTGTGACGCTAAGAAACTCATGAATAAACTTATGCAGATCATGCGCTTCGATGCCTCCATGGAGTCGCTGCTCAACGTGGGCCGCTCCGAGTCCTTTGCGGATCTCAACAACACGGCGCTGGGTAATAAATTCACGCCAGGTATGTTATTTGATATTTGATAAACTTATGCTGTTTACTTAACTAATGGACGCCACGCCTTTTTGATAGCAGCACTCAACGGCGCCGGTGGCGGAGGGGCTGGAGGCGTTGGCAACGGTGGTATTATACGCAATCGCCACAGTTTTGGTGGTAAGGGCAGCAGCGATGATTCCCCAGGGAAAGCCTTTGGCATTGGTATGTATATAAAAATACCACACTAGCCCATAGCGAAAGCTATAAACAACAATTTTATTTCAACTCACCTTTAATTTTGAGCAACTTTTTCCAAACGTTTACAAATGAAAACATATAATCAAAACTAATTTTTGTATCACTACATACATTATAATCTCTAACCATATACAAACTATATATACTATATAGTATTTTTTGCTTATGCGCAGCAATTCAAAACCAAAAACCAAAATCAATTTAAAGTGCGATCTAGTTGCTGTCATGTCTTAGAGCAAGGGATTTATCTTTGTTTACGTACATACATATATATCTATATATTTGAAAATTTAAATAACTAGTCTTGATTTGATAAGAAGTATATATCTTTAGCATACTTTATTATGTATTCGTATAACTTGTAGCTGCTGACAGTTGACTATAACAAGATAAATCCTTTAAACCAAACTGCTTTTAATATACATATGCCCAAGCAAAGAAAAGCAAGCGATTATTTATACAAAAAAAAACTTACATTTATTTAAGTGCAATTAATGCTTCCAAACTTGTTTCTAAAGTTCAACTTTTGGCTTTTGCTTCAATGCAACACAATAGCAAAACTCTAAACAACAAGTAACACAACCACTCGAACTGTTTCGTAACGAGTTCCAGATGCACATTACTTACTCTTCACTTGAGCTCCACGCAATTCATCCAGAGCTTATCATATAAATTGACATATATATTGATTGTCCTATAACATACATACATACATACATACAACTCATTTAACTCTCTCACATATATCACAAACACAAGCTCAGATTTCTATCTATTTATTATGTATAACTCGTATGTATGTCTGGTTCTTCTTTCATATGTCATAAAATGTACTCTCTTCTGTGCTTTCTCAACAACTTGAAACAAATTTGAACTATTTTGAATATCGTCCTAAAAACCAAAAAAAAATATATATATCAAAACACACAGGCGCTATTCTGTCAGGTAAAGGCTGGCCCCAATGTAAAGTGCATAAATATAAGATTGATTGAAAATTCATTAATTGTTAGTTGGCGTTTCAGTTTGTCTGTTGTTCACACACATGTACACACACATACGCAGTCGCACACTCAGTCATGATCGCAAAAACACAAGCTAAACATAAGTGTTGAAATCATTTAATGTACCATAAGTAATACCCATAATAACTTCCATTATTTTAGAGTCAGGCAGTTGTGTATTTAGTACTACAATTTAATTACTAATTTTGTAGTATTATTGTTAGTTCTGTAACGTTAGCTGCCATTTCCCAAACAAAACAAATAAACTATCTCATTCAAATCTCATGCAACAACTCTTGACAGCATTAATGTCTTTATTCTACATATAAACATATATGTTGCATTCATTGTATTGTCATTTGTTCATTCATTCTACACACATGTAAACACACGCAAAGTGTCTCCGCCTCTCTCTCTGTCTGTGTCTTCCAATTTTCCCCTATTTGGCGCACCATCCACAGCAGCGCACGCATAGCACGATTTTCGAGCAATCAATTTGTTGACCTAGTTCCATATACTTATTCTTAGTTGTTCTTATTGTCTAGTTAATGTTTGTGTTGCATTTGTTATTTTTAGTGTGGCGAACTAGTTGCCCGTTGTTCAGCTAGTGAGTTACGTTCTTTTATGTTTTTGATTGTATCGCTCATCGAATCTTGTTTAAATCATTGTAACTAAACATAAACAAATACATAATCGTTGTCTTCCTTGATACCCGTGGAATGCAGCGCGTCCAACATTTTTGAATCTCAATTTGAACTTGAACACATTGAGAATTGCGCCAACGAAACGTATGTGGTTTGTCTAGCTCTAAGTTGTAGTTAAACTCTAGTTAAATCAACTGACATTACTAACCCTTTCGTCTTTTATTTATACAGCATCTCCGGCCACGAGCAAGCTGCTGGGCATGCGCATGACCACGCTGCACGAAGAACCGCTGGGCGGTCATCGTTCGCTGGACGAGGAGCCAGAAGACAGCTACAGCGACTCAGAATATGCCGCTGAATACGAGCAGGAGCGACAGCAAAACAAAAGCCTTGCCACACGCTCTCGGCTGACCGCCTCCAAGACCATGGACTCGTTCATGGACGTCAGCAGTCATTCCAGTCAAAGCTACTTGAGCTACACATCCAGCGCCAATGCGAACATGAAACATTTAACTGGTCTGACCACGCTCAGCATGAGCTCGTCGACCAGCAGCGGCTATGGCTCACAGGCGGTGTCCTGCAATAATCTAAGCAATGAGGATATTACCTCCATGCGCTCCATGAGCATTGATGAGACGCCAGGTGAGTGTTGCACCTTTTGTATATCAATTATATATCTTCTGAAAATTCTGAAAAATTGTCTAAAAGAATTTATACAAAAGGCTTATCTTAACAATTCGCGTTTCGTTTCGAACTCAGTTTTAAAGTTATTTTTGAAAGACATTAAACACCTAAAACTTTCATCAAAGGATCATACATTCACACTCATACGTTCATTGATACATCATAAGACCAGGAAAAGGAATTATTCTCGACAAACCTTTACTATATATACTTATTGTTTGTAGATTTCGAACGAATCAATTCCAACTCGCCGCCGAATCGTCAGCCACGTGTCAATCCCTTCCTCAAGGACATGCCAAAAGCCAAAACGCACGAAGCTGAGACTAAGAAGCTGCAACAAACTATGACGCATCCGTTGGAGCTGCCCAAGGATAATGCACAAAGCGATGAGGAATGTGAACAGCTGCAAACCAATAACAACAATGTGGACAATGTTACGGTGAGCCAGGAACAGCAGCAGCTGCAGCATGAGCAGCAGCTGAATCAACCGGAAACAGTCGAGCAACAGACGGAGATGCCTGTAGTTGAGCAGGCCACAGACAATCAGAATGGCAACAAAATGCAGGAGCATGTCGAATTAGACGAGCAGCAGCTGGAAGGCGATGGCGTAGTCAAGGAGCAGCTGCCACCGGGTAAAGTAATGCGTCGTAAAAAGTCAACGACGCAACCACCGAGCAATGGCGACAGCAGCAACAACAACAACAACAATAGCAACAGCAACAGCAATAATACAAGCCAAGTGACACGCAACAACAACCAACAACGCGCCTCGGTGGCCAAAATGGAAGGATTAGGCGCATATTTGGATGTGAATTCCAGCATAATGTCGAGCAGCATAGAAACGGAAGGTGTGTATCATGGAAACAAAACCCAAATATGGACTCCTTGTTTTATTATTCTGCTTTGTTGACAGATGAAGGCAAGGATTTGGATGTGACGTTGCCTGAATGGATCGTGGTGGGTGAATCGGTGCTTATACGTCCGTATAATACCAGCGGGGTGATTAGCTTTGTGGGCACCACACACTTTCAGCCAGGCGCCTGGATAGGCGTCGAGCTGGACACGCCCACGGGTAAGAACGATGGCACCGTACAGGGTATACAGTACTTCCAGTGCAAGCCGAAGCATGGCATCTTTGTGCGAGCCGATAAGTTGCTTCTGGATAAACGCGGCAGAGCAATGCGTGCCTATAAGGCAGCGGAGAAGAGCAACAGCATTAGCAAAGGTGGGCAACGAAGCGATATCCAATACAGACATTGACTTAACAAATTATTTTGCAGAGATGAGCAGCTCAATGAGCAGTTCGATGACGCGATCGAAGAGCCGTGGCGAATCGCTAAATGTGTCAGCGCGCAAATGATTGTATCCGAAATGTTCGCATCAGCTGCAGCGTTGGACTAATTGCAGGCAATCGACGCTGGTTAGCAAAGGAGTTAATTCAACTACAATAGCAGCTACATCGACTGCGACCCCAACTCCAACTACCTGCCACAGATTGCGTGCAACCAGCAGCGCTGCCGATGCGAACAGCCATGGCAAGAAGTGTTATGCGAATCGACGCTCGACGGCCTTCTAAGGTCGCCAACGATTCCAGATCGTCCAGCAACGAAACAATGCGGAGCATTAACCAATACACACACATACAAACACACGCTAGCTTAACTTAACTATCAATCGCACTGCATGCCGCAATTACACACACAAACACACACAGCACACCTAATCGGACGCTTTGATATGTAGAGTTGTACGGCAGTGTCTACGGCAACTATAACTAGCAATTATAAAAATGAATTATAGAAGTGGCCGAAGCCCCCTCTGCCAGCTGCTGCATCCGCTCTTAATGGATAAACTAAGCAAACTAAAGCGTTTGCGTAGTTGCATTAACCAAGTGCAATACCACAAACACTTTGGATCTATAGACACTTAGTTTAAATCGTAGTTTCTAATTATGTTCGTTTAAATGTGTCTGCGTGAATGTTTCCTAATGACGATTATTTTTCAATTCAATTGGTTGAGTTCTTCATAGTTAATTGATCTTCGCAGCTTTTTGATAAAGCACGAATTGGATTCTAAAACTATTTATATATATATATATATATATATATATATATATATATATATGCGTATATTTTTGTACCGGTTGATTAATTGATTGCTTAGTTTAGTTAAATTGTTTTTTGTATGTACGAAATTTTACTTTATATATTTGTATATCTTTATCTATATATCAATGTGACTTGGTTAATACTACTATGAGCTTATTTTTTATTGTTATGGACTGTATCGAAAATATATGAAATCAGTTGTATATAAATATTTATGCTGTAAGTTTTACCAGACATGCAATACTTTTTCTCTATCTATATATATATGTATATCTCCCATTTGATTGAGCTCACATTTTAATTAGCGCATTTATCTATATATATATATATATACCGACAGGAAACCAATACAATATTAGTATATAATAACAGATTCCATATATGCTGCAAGACAAGCGCATTAAGATTACAGACATTTAGTCTTATATCTTGTTTGGAGATCAAGAAGCTTGGCATATATGTTAATTGTATTATTTGATGTGATGTATTTATAATTTTTTCCATTTATATGTATATTTAAATAAACTTCATTTTGCTATACACATTTCGTTTTGGTTTATTTCTACTTTCCTAATTTGCTAATCGATGTGCAATATTTAAGTATTATTAGTTTTATATATATCTACATATATCGATCAATGTTGAAGGTTGTGCGACTATGTTTGTGAACCATTAACCAAACACTGATACAGAATGAAAGGCTTGCGTTAGTCCAAAAGATTGTGAACTACGTGAAAAAAAAAACAAAAATGAAAATGAAAATGAAGCAATAATTGCGTTAAATATTCAATTTTATGTTTAAGATAAATCTATATATTTAAAAACAAAATGAAATATGTATATGGAATGATAAACAACAACAGCAAACCGGCTGACGAAACGTTTGTACGTAAACGTATCCATCCATCCAACAACCAAGACATCCAAGACACTCCAAACTGAGTCTGAGATAAATTGCAATTTACAAACAATAAAAAAAAAGAAAATTAAAATAAAACTACTACTACCAACAACAAGCGATTTACACTTAGAAACCAAAATTCAAAACCGAAAGAAAAAAATATTGAGTTGAAGTTTAAAGAAGAATAAAAGTCACCCAAATACTGGATTAACTAACAGCCAGGCAAACCCCAGCATATAAATATATGCTAATATGCATACATGAATATATATTATATATTAGGTATACATATGTATATTTTCGAACTGTGTTTTCTACTTGCATCAACTACCAAAAAAACAAAATATTTACTTGAAAATACGTCCAAAATTGAAAAATTTAAAAGCAAGCTATAACAACTACAATATATATATATATATATACAAATTACATAATAATTATAAATATATATATATGATACACAAAAATATACTAAATATCGAATTATAACTTCGGGTTAAGCCGAAGTTAAACAAAAATATTATTTCTGAATTTTGAAAATGTTCAAAGAGCATTCAAAATAATTTCCAAAAACAAAATACAAAATATTTGATGTGTGTGCAATTAATAAGTAGAAGCCGTACTTTGAGTTGATTTTTAAAGATTTTTTGTTACAGAATAGAACTCTCATTTTAGCACAACAATTAATAAAATATTACTGAAATTTAATGCATTTAATAAGCGTAATTTAAAACATTCAAATAGAGCTTGAAAATATGAGAGATATTCCAAAAAAATATTAATAAATTAACTAAAAATATTAAAACTAAATTTAGAGGTACGCCTAGAGCGCTTTCAATGTCTTGTAAAATAGTTGAGAAAGAGTTTACAAAATGCTTGCTAGCCACTTCTAGAACGTAAATTCACATACATATATATATATATATATATATATATATATATATATATATCTATATATATATTTAGTTTTAGTATATAGATTGGAAAATAAAAAAGGTACCTTAAAGCAAAGAATAGTTTTGTTTATATGGCACATCTTAGGAGCTATTGCCCTGGACTAACTATCACATCAGTTAAATGTAGATACAATATAATTTGCAAAACAAACACACACACACAGTCAAATGAAATATAATATATATATTAATATGTATTATATACGATAAGCTCGATATGAATAGCTGTTTATTGCATTGGCTTCAACTAGCAGAAGAGCAGCAATTTGATGTGGATAGTTTTGAAAGCAAAAAATATATAAAAACAAGCAAAGTATTCGTAAAAGTAAAACAAGTCACAGATATTCGTAATTTTGAGCACTTTAGAGCTTTTAGCACTGTCAACGAAATAAATGTTATTAAATTACAAAATCAATTACAAATTGTAGGCCACAACAGCTACTTAACTACTAAACAAATACAGTTGAATAAAAAAAATGGAATTATTATTACAAATGCTTTTATTGTGCAATCAACAACAGAAACCGAAACAACTACAACACAAATATCAACACACTTGAGCTCTCTTTAAATATATATGCAGTTGTTAATTTTATTGTAAAGTTTCACGTTGTAGTATTAAAAAAGAAAAAGAAAAACAAATTCCATAAAAAAACAGTCAAGAAAAACTCAGACACACAGACAAGAATTTCTGTAATTTATACTTCAATTATTTGACTTCGATTTTTAGTAAACTTAACGTCAGCAAAAAATTGCAATAAATAAATGCAAGTTTAACAACATTTTGAGTATTCAACAACAACAACAATTTATGTACTTAACAATCTATAAATATACAAAACCAAAAAAAATGTGTATTGAGCCGCCATTTGTGTTTAATTATCAACTTCCATTTGGCTTCGCAGCTGTGTTAATAGCTTGTCCCATTTATCTGCACCTGCCTTGACTTGGCCCACATACCCAGCTGACCTTGAACTAGACCTCTTTTAAATCTTTATGGCCAAAACACTTGACCGACGCCCTACAATTTGGGTTAAAGCAAGTGAGAAGTTAGCAAAAGGGCGTTGTAGACTGCTGCATACGCGTTCGATCTGAAATCTGTTGAATTTAGATATGCCTTCCTCTGATATATATATATATATATATATATATATATATATATATATATATATATATATATATATATATATATATATATATATTATATCGTTGATGTCTATATAAGCCATTTAATAATAGCTCTAATTTTGGGTTACTGGGCAGGAGAGCTTATGTAGTGCCATCCAGCATCTATTGTCTCAATACATCATCGAAATATATATATATATATGATTATACATAACCATAACATATATTTCATCCGTAATAAGAACTCTTGTTGTCAGAGGCACATCTCTAAAAAACTAATATACTCCTCTTCCATCATGAAGTTTAAAACAAAATTTTATTTTTTTTCCGTTTCTAATCTTCCACTCTGAGAAGTATTTTTATTTTTTCAAAAAAATAAATGGCAAAAATAGTGATTTTTTATAGTTGATAAATGCTTTACAACGCTTTTGGGGATTTTCTGCATTTTCTTTGCATTGCATTTTTTGCTTTTTTCTTTACGATAAGACGTTTGGTTATTCGAGAGTTGTTTCGGAATGCGAGTGTTATTATAAATATCATTTGTTTTTGTTGATGGATTTATCATTTGATGATCACATAGCAATTATAATTATTCAAGCTTTACATAGGAATTATATGCACATAAACAGATATATATAATGTAGATCTATACAACTTGTTCTAGTATTTTCATTTTTCTTTTTACACAACAAACGCACAACACATAATGAATCTGTTAATATGCTTTGACTTGTTTTTGATTTGTGTTGATCTGTTCTCCTTTGATATTCACTAACTACGACTTACGCGTTCTATATAGTGTATATATTATATAGAAAATATTTGTATATATATATATGATTCTATCCTTTTGTTTTCTTTTTAGTTCGTATTTACACGTTTTGTTGCGTTTCTAGTTGAGTCTGTAGTTAAAAAGCGTTGCACGGCGCTACGCTTAGTCAGTTTCTCTCTGTTACAATTGGCTTGGTCCGCTGGCTCGCTTGGTACGAGAAGCGTTTGTGGCTCATTCGTGTGTAATGATCCAACGCTGTGTGTCACTGGACTGATCGCATTTCTCGACTTGTGCATCGTCCATGCTCTTCAGCCCGCTATGGTCGAGGCACAGTCCTGTGTTGCTGTGCACCAGCCTCTGATTCTCGTACCTCCACTGCTCGTTATAATCGTCGTTCTCCAGGCAGGGCACCATCACAATACGATGCGGTGGAGAGCTGCTGTGCTGCACTGTCGCACAGCTCAGCTCATTGCGCAGCACATTATTGTTGGTGAAGGAGAAGAGCTGTGACTTTTGCAGCGCCTTGCCACAGGGATATAGACCCAGATTGTAGGGCTTCTCATTGTTGTTGAGCAAATCGTCCAGGCACAAATTTGAATTGACTGCTTTTATTTTGCCCCACGCCTTGACATTCTTGTTGGGCACAAATTTCTCCGGATACACGTTCTTCAGGTACCAGTCGAAGCTCTTGCAGCGCAACTTCTTGCGCAGCACAACGCGATGCGTAACATCGCCAATGTCTGGATGGAATTTCAGATCGGGTCGATTCAAAAAGAACACGTTTATATATTCATCCATCCAAACCAAAGCCATGCGAGCGGTGTTGATGCCATGAGTATCACGATCATTGGGGAATCTGCAGGAAGATAGCTCAGTTAAAGAACCATATTCATTAGAGCGCTAACTGTATACGAACTTGTAGGGATGGAAGTCACGGAAGATGTGACCCACTCGGGAACAGGGTATTGTCTCAATGGTGCCGCCACACTGCCAGATTCTAAAGGACATCTCTAGATTCTCGCCACCCCAGCCATCCATCTGTATAGGTGAAGACATATTTATAATATTGATTGATAGCTTCATCTCCTCGTCACTCACCTGCTCATCATAGCTGCCCACCTCCCAGAAGTAGCGTCTGTCCATGGCAAATAGACCGCCCGCCATGGTCGGACTGTAGGCGGGACAAATCTCCCTTGGCTGACTGCATTCCCTGATCTGTCGCTGCTTCTCACGATCTGGCAGATTAACCCAGTCGAAATGGCCGTTCCATTGGAAGCCACCCACTTGGAAGGACTTGTAGCCGTTGGTGCTGTACTGAAAGTCATTCGCATCGATCACATCGATAATGGGCACAAGGACACTTGTGCGCGAATCCTTGATGCGCTGCAGCAGTGGCTCACACCAGCCCTCGTTCGCCTCGCAGTGAGCGTCCAGAAAGATGAGCACATCGCCGCTGGCAATCCGAGCGCCGGCCAATCGAGCGCGTATCAGACCCAAGCTGCAGGTAAAAAGCCAAAAAGAAGATGTTAAAATGGAACTCCAAACTTTCCTTTAGCCAAAATGGTATTTGGACAAACTATGAAAAAAAAAGAATTAAATTATTGGGTCAGCGAACAGAGGCAGAGGCAGAGGCAAAGGCGTGCGCGCGAGCGCTAAGCGAGAGATACGAAAGATACAAAATAAAAGTCAAAAACATAATCATGAGTTGACGAACAGGTTTTACGGTTTCATTATATGCCCTAGAACAGAACAAGTACCGGGTATGATAAGCATATGAAACAGTCGCCAAGGTGATTCATATAGTATAGACGGTATAGACATATATTGATATAAGTTTGATAAGTTCAGGCCAACTGCTATGGCTTTTTGTGTATCTCTGAGATGTATCTAAATTTTAAGTGTAGTTTCTGCTGCTTGTTTGGTCTGCACGGTATTTGTTAGTCGTGCTGGCAGCTAAGCTTTAGTTTGACTTTTGAAATTTTTGAACGTTTTTTAGTTCTTCAAGTTTAAAGCTGTGAAGAAGAAGCTTCAAGTCTGCCCGACCAATTGTGAGTCTGTGCCACAAAACGAGTTATTCAAATGAAGGCAAACCAAACGATATCCACTCGAACGTGTGTTTGTGTTAATTTTACCAACAAGTTGAATGTGCATTCGATTAGCTCAATGAAGATTTACCTGGCCAAAGAGACAGTCAGACAGAGGGAGAGAGAGTAAGACAACAAAGTGTGCCAGCAGATTGACGATTGCTGATTGTCGCTGTGCCCTTTACCCCATTAGCTGCAATAGCTTCATTACCCTCTTTACCAAACGCCGCTGGTCATCGGCCCTTTCACTTACCGATTCTTGAGGCGAAGAATTGTCACTTTGCCTGGGGGAAAACGTGTTCTCACATAGTGATCCAGTTTGCCACCCAGCTCGGCATTGTCGCTGCCGTCATCCACCAGAATGATCTCCTTCAGCGCCTCCTGGTTGCAGGTGTTCAGCGTGCTGTGCACCGTGCGTACCAGCACAGAGTATGGCTCATTATAGAATATAACGACGACACTGGCAGTGGGCAATGTGCTGGGATCATCGTATTTCTCTTTCAGGCACAGCGGATTACGGTGATCACCCACGGTGCGATTATAGGAGAGCTGCTCGCTCAGCTCCTCGTTCAGTGCTATCTTCTTGTAGATCCTGTCTCCACGCGCCTTGGCTGCGCCATTCAGATGCACGGCAACACCTCTGTTGCCCAAAGTCTTATCCTGCTTTTCTAGATCTAACTGTATGCTCTGCTCATATGGCGATATGGTAACGGGTTTTATTTCATTCTCCTGCTCATCTTCAGGATACTTCTCATGCGCTCTCGCTCGCGCACGCAGCTGAGCTGGCCCCTGTCTCGCTCTAACGGGCAATGGCAAATCTTCGCCAGCTGGTTGAACTTTCAGATAGAGTATAAAGCATAGAGCCACCAGCACAAATATTATTATTTTGCCATAGAAGGAACGAAACCGAGGCAGCATGTTGCTTCTGTGTGTGTGAGTGAATGTGTGTGTGTATGAGTGTAGGTGTTCCTGCTTGTTGAGGTAGCACGGTTCACTTTCAATTACAACGCTGCAGCGTGGACGTGGCCCATAGACTACTGCTGCTGCTGTTGCTGCTGGTTGTTTGCTTCATTTGTTGCGCAGCTCGCTGACAAAATACAAACACACACAAACATACATACATATTTAAGCTGGCAAATATTTTATATTCATTTACATACATGCATATGTTGTTGTTGCCTCCGCACCCGCAGCTTACGTACAAGTTTATTTTTAGTTTATTTATATACTTTTTTCTTTTTTATATACTTTTTCGTATAAGCACTTGCGCTTACTATGTGATGTGGCGTCTGTGGCTTAAACTAGACTAAACGTTAATTCTAGTCGCGCGGTTGCTTATGCTGTCCGTCCTCTGCGCGCCGCCCATAGCTCGCACCTAACTATCTATGTGTGTGTGAGTGTGTGTGTTTGTGCTTTTGGTTTTATATATGTTTGTGTGTGTATATGGCTTAACTGTTGCTTCTTCTTCTGTTGCTTTTGTGCACTTTTGTGCTATCCATGCAGCTACACATATTTAGAGTAAGTCACCTATTGCACCCATTTTAAGCAAGATTTTGTATTCAATTAGCACATCTGGTACTTGTTTTTTAATTAAATATTGCTCGGTGAAAATATAAAAACACTGATGAACGACTAGCAGGTGATGCGGCGTTGCCACCTGTTAGCAAGTGTATGGATGCGTTCAGCATATGGAAAACAATTGCGCGTTACCGAACAGTATGCAGTAGAGTCTAATAACAAGTTAAATAGATTATTAAAAAGTTGATTCGTACAAAAACATTGAATAGCAGTTAATTTAATTTTCTTACTTTTGTTCCTTAATTTTCTTAGTTTTGTTACTTAATTTCTTAGTTTTGTTAGTTATTGTAAACAGTGACTGTCTGCTGCTGAATGCTGCTTGACATTTTTAAAGCCATCTGGCAACACCACATTTAACTAGTGTGTTGTAAAGCGCGCAAAATGGTGCTGTTTAATCATAGTGCGCGAAGATTTGAATGTAAACAAGTTAATACCATTTTTTGTATACAGCCGTTTTTTTACATAAACGAATTCTGTTCATAAAATATATAAAACAAAACAACAAAATTTTGAAACTAAAATTTCTTATTGAATGAGATGAAAACTTTTTCATTGCCTGGCTATAAATTGATAACTTACTAATGTGGGCGTAAGAGTGCATCTTCAAAATGTGGTTGAAAAGCGAAAGGCAACCAAAGATCTTGATATTTCCACTCGAAAAGTGTCTCACTTGACACTTTTGTTTTGTCATTTAATGCACAAATTGCATGTTCAGCTATTGTTAAATATGAAAACAAAATGAATTTCCTACAAAAAAAATTGTCTGCGTTGTTTTTTTGCTGCTTGCTTGACACGCGATGACACTTTGTTGTTGTTTGTTGCTGCGCATAATTGAAATATTTTATTTATTATATTCAAGTTTGAACTTTCATTTATATTAAATTGAAATAAGGTCAACCAATTCATATAATATTTAGCTTTTATAATTAATATTGCTAATTAAGCTCAGGTATTTTCGAACTTTATTTTTTTTTCAAATTGCTGCTTTGTGGTTGTTGCTTTCGTTTGGCATAATTAATACGTTACGTATACGCAAAGTTGTCGTTGCGGGGGCCGCCGTTGGTGAGCGGCCGAAGAGAAGAGTTCAAAGAGCTCCCTAACTTTGATAATTGGAAGCTTTTTTTTAGCTGGAGCTGGGAAGACGGGGCAGCGTGCGCTGCATTGTGGGAATCCATCTAAGCCAGCCAAGTTATATGGTGTAAGGTGCAAGTGGCTCGTTTTGCAGATCTGCGCTAACGCTCTCTAATAGCTTCCAGCGACAGAAAAAAACAACTAGGAAGGAAATAAATTACTTAGCCAGTCACACAACGTTTGCCAAAAAGTTTTTCTTTTTCGTTTTCGTTTTCTTTTGTTTTCATTTCTTCTGTTTCACCTGTGTTTCCGACCTCAAAATCTTAACTAGCTGTTAAAATGTAACATTGAAGCAAATTACAATTGGATTCGTTTTTTATTTATTTTTTTGTTCGTTGTTTGCTAAAAATTTTAACACCTACAATTGACAAGTTAAAGCAACTAAATTATGTTTATTTTAGCATATTTCAATTAAGTTTTTTATATTAATAACTAAAGGTCACGTTGAATCACGTTTTATGAGGCATAGCAAAAGATATATTTAAAGCTATATCAAGGCATATTACTTCGTTAATTGGGATTGGATTTGTAAGTATGTTTATTATTGACTCTTAGAGCGCGGCCTCATTAATAGGCAAACAAAGAAAGAAAAACAAATAGCTATGAGTTTATGTTTTCGAGCTCTGACCATAATGACATAAGCCACAAAATATCCATTTGATCTAAATGACCCTCAGTTGGTTACGCTCTGGTCTGGGCCATTTTTGCTGCTCCATTATCATCCAGCTTCGTCTTGAACCATCCATCCAACCGTCTTGGCAATCCATCAACAGCCACAACGGTTAATAATAGAATTGGAAATGCGATTGCAATTGAAAAATTGTTAACCACTATTTACTTTTCTCTCTTTACTTATTTGCCGCGCTTCGAGCTCAACTCACATTTTGTTACGCTTCTTTTATCTGCTGCTCTACAAAATGTCAAAAGATTGTGCAACTCAGATGATTGCTTTCCATTATTATCGCGCGTACAAAAGGAGATGAGTTCGCTAGGAGCTGCGTTGTGTGGAAATACTTTATCAATTGGTTATGGGAATTGCAGAGTGCAGTCAGCAGCAACTCCTGGGAAAGACAACAACAACAAAATTGTTAACAATAAAGCTGTGAATCAATAATTTATTGGCAATTTGTACGTGAAGCAAAGCTGTAGAGGCTGTGTACCGAGGCCTTAAAGTCTTTATTCAGTCTGGAAAGCATGGAAAAATGTTTTGATGTGAGCTATCTGAGCTTACAAATTTTATATTTTACATGAGCTGACAATCATAATTCTTTTAGATTTAAATTTATTCTGTTAGATTTAAATTGATGTATGGCTAATATATAGTATATACGATAACATATATATTGATTATCATAGTCTATAGAAGGCGAATCATATATGTTGTAGAATTTTGCTTATAGAAGATTTTGATTTAATGCTAGTTATAAGCAACTTTATAGATTCTCTAACTATCTCTTGATATATCTCTCTCTATTTTATATATATATATCTATATGTCAATCTATCTCTTCTTCCCCTTTATCACTGTCTCTGTCTCTATTTACCTCTTACTATCTCTGCATCTTACTCTATATAGCTCTCTCTCTCTTGCAGTTGAGTCTGATTGATGCATGCTTAAAAGTATTCAAGTTTTTACTCTTACCGACAACTACAATCTATTTTTGAGCAGCTTAAACGCTTAAAATTGCTCTTAAGCTGGCTTTAAAGCTGCGTTTCCTAAAGCCCAAAAGTCCAAATCCGCCTGAAATCATCTACAGCTTATCTTTGACTGAATTCCGCTCCAATTAATGCAACTCGAATACTCGCCGAGAGATATTGTTATTACTTTAAACCGCTTTTTGAAAACATTCGTAAACCGCTTTGCAAACGTTTTACACACTTGCAATTTGGCAAATTACATTTTTTTCTGATTTCCTTGAGCAGAGTGTAATAAAAAAAACATTGCATAATTTTTAATAGCTCAAAGTTATTAGAAACACCCGCTGGCAGCTACGACTACACATAGACACAGTCGAAAAGGCGAATGTGCATAATCAAGAGCTGATCAACAAAGCGCAGCTATTGTCTAGCTCTAAAGATCGGTAACAATATAACCCACTGGGCATTATCAAGGGCAAATCCTCAGAGCTTAGCACGCGACTAGCAAAGGGAAAATCAAGATTGAATAAATTAAGTAAAGGGAGTGCACGACTAGCAAATGCTTTGGAATCTTCATAGAATTGATCATTATATTTTCTGTCATGTTTACACAGATATTTCAACAAATTGGAAGTGCCTGACTAAGAAATACCTTTCAGATATGTAAATCATGGTTATCTCTAGATTTTTCAAGTTTTCAGGCATCCACTGTATGAATTAATGAATTTTGCGGCCAATGAGAATAGGAATTCTAATTCGGGACAATCTTTATTTATATATTCATTATCACAAGTCACACACCAAATTTGGCGTCTCTCGCAATTATGGTCTTTAAGTTATATTCTAAAAAATAAATAGAAAAATCGATATTTATCGATATATTGAAAATTAAATGATCTATAGGAGGAAAATGACACTGCTTATGTTTTTAGATGAATTATATATACAATATATCAACTTTCAAGTCTCTAGCTTTTGCAGTTACTCAGATCGACGAGCTTCTATAGATAGATGGGCAGATGGACAACAGGGCAGTAAGACAGCCAGGCAGACATAAACTCGTCTGACTAATCTAATCAAGTATGGTTATAAAGAGTCAGTCAGTTAAAACGATCATACCCTGCCTAACGCTTTCATAGGGCATACAACAAGTGGCGCCAAAAATCCGAATAAAATCGAAACGATGTGACTAAGCTGCTGATATGCTTGATAGTTTTTATAGTTTAATTTTTGGCTTTTTATATTATATTTTATTTTCGGTTTATATTTCTGTCGGCTCTATTAGTGTGTGAGGTAGTTAAGCTTTGCATAATCGCGGCATAGACACCCGCATTGTTTAGCATCTATGGCCACAGCCATAGAGACGAGGCATTGCTGCAAGAGCTATCAACGAACTTGCAGTTATGATTGGAAGCTCAAACATAGTCAAAGACTCTCTGTCAGTTATAACGATCGGATCATGTCATCATCATCCACGCCGCATGGAATGCGTGTTACCAATTCGTTTTTTCACTTTTCACAATCCACCTGCAAATTGATTCACAGATAAAAGACATTTTGAATACCTTTTAAAATCGCATATTGATTTTAATCAAGAAATACATTAAAAAACTGAGATAAAACAACGGACAACTTTGTGCGGACGTTGGCAACATTTGCGTTTGTCATTTAAATCGAAATGGAAATTGAAATGCGTGGCAACTATATAGCTGGATATATATATATAGATGTATATATAGGTATATCCGCCAGCATTTATGAGCCGAAGTTGGAGGCGTCTCTACATTAGTATGTTAATAGAGTTTAGAGTTCACAAAAAAGTGATTGTAAGATTTTTTTCTTCTTTTTTTTTTTGAAGCTTACGCAATGGGGATTGCCCTGCGAATATGCGATGACAGGGCAATTAGTTGGCTGGAGCTAAGGCGATACGTAAAGCTGCGTAAAATATATAACGGATTATGGCAGCTTGAGCTTAAGTAATTTGTATATATATATATGACTCCAGTCAGCAATATATATATAGATATATATATAGATATATATATATATATAGATATACATATACATAAATATCATTTATTTTTATATATATTTATAATAATCTGTAAGCTGGCTGAGCACTCATATCCCCTATAAACTTATTGAGTAATATAAATTATATTTTTAAATTCATTTAACTTTTATTATTTCTTATTATTTATATTATTATATATATATATATATTATTTATATTATATTTATTATATATATATTTATATTTATTATCCTCGCCAGCAGCACTCTGTCTCTGCAGGCACAAATAGCCTAGAAATACAAAGATAATGTATAGCTGCATGTCGACAAGTCCTGCGGCATTCACGCAAGTGCCACGGACAGCCGAGTTGTGGCATGTTTTTGTGGCGACTCTTGACATGTCGTATGCATGTTTTGCGCCCTGTTAACACCACTAAATGCACAATTAGTGTCTGTCCACTGATTCCAGGTGTGTTCATGCCATTATAACTAGCTCGTTAACAGCTAATGGCCAGCTAATAGCTCATGCAGCACAGGTGTTATATAGTACAGGGCACTTTAAAATATTTAAACAAAAACTTAGTCAAGTCTGTGACGAAATTTAGAATAAAATTTAAATCAAGTTTTCCAAGTCAGATTTTAGCTATAATTTTACAACTTTTTTATTAAGTTGTTAAAGATATAAACCCAATTTTATATATTATATTTTATCATCTCATGTCACATCATGCAAATTGCATTATTTGATACCAAAAATCTTTGACCAGCCACATTCTATAGCAAAACAAATGCAGGCCAATAGATGAGCCGCTAAGTAGAATATAAAAATCTGGGTTAGATCTCTTAAAAAGATCTCCTCTTCATACGAGTCCGGATGGCTGTAGTCTTTGAATGAAGTCAATTTTAAGCGCACCATTTCGTGGAAGGTGCTCGTTACCCAGTACTTTGAAATGCCAAACTCTTCCATGGCCAGAATGTGTTGCTCGAAGAGCTGCCGATAGGGCAGATGTCGGCGAACGGGCAGGGACAGCAGCAGGAAACGCTTCATGCAAATATCCTCGGAGTAATAGAAAACAGGCTTACTAAAGTGTTTCTGCTGCTCCTTGAAGGATAGCCAGCGTATCTCAGTCACTGGATAAATAAAGCTGGCATTAAAACTATCACGTAACCGTAAAAGCTCTGTCCAATCATCCAGGATGAATGCGTGGTGAGCATTGCTTGTGGTCAGACTGAAGTTTTTGAACAGGATGTGACTCGCCTCTCCGCGTTCCAAGGCAATTTTGTAGCGAGATGCGAAAATATCCTCGAAGCTGCGCAGCATTGGCTCATGTGGCGGCCTTAGGAAGTACGCCTGCAAATAGGACTCGTACATGGTAGTGGTCATAATACTAGCGAAGCAGATCAGCATACAAATGCCCTTTAGATAGCGACTAGGCTGGGCAGGCATCGGAAAGGCATGGCCTAGAAGGCCGCGTAGACAGCGGTCGTTGAGCAGCATGTTGATGAGGCTGAACCTGCGCCAGTTCAAGTCCTCGCTATAGATATACAGCAGCGAGAAGATTAGAAATAAGACGATTAACACGCCTGCCACCAGAGGCTGCACTATGATCGCGTAGATTTCCTTGAACTCCAGAGCCGACGGCATGGGTATCATAAAGCAAAACGAACTGTGAATGTACGGATAGCTAAGATAGTCATAGTTCTCCATATCTAGAGTGCTGGACAGCGTGGCAGCGATATCCAGCAGATTGAGCTGCACCCGTTGAAAGATGTTTTTGTAGTAAATTTTCTTGCCTTGGCCAATGTCATCGCGCAGCTTTAACGTCGCATTCACACGCTCCACGAACGTATTGATCAAGTTGGCTGCAATGCCCATCATCTGGTACTTGCCTGTGCTGGGATCGCGGTAGAGCATGGCGCGAGGACCGATCTGATCAGGTTCGCTTCTAATAAGAGATCCGCGCATATTTCTAAATTGTTCCACATAAATGAAGTCGTAGTTAGAGTTGGATTCGGATGCTACGTCGACATTGGAGTTTAGGCTCATTAGCGCGGTGGACTCTTTTGGGTAGCTGGAGCTCAAGTTGACAGCCAGCTGCACATAGTTTTCCTGCTCAAAGCAACGACAGCTATACAGATTACCCACTGAATCCACCATGGCCACATTGACCTGCTCCCGCTCAAAGTAAGCCTGGCAAACTTCCGTTGGCTGCTTCTCTAACTCCAGATAGACCAAGCGACGGGCTGGCTGCAGCTTAAGCAAAGTTCGTGTGTTCCGTTCCTGCTCCGCATCAGAGCTACAGATGAGAAGCAACGACTCGCTGCTGAAGCTCCAATCCTCCCAGCTGCTGCCTTGTGTGAGCAGCACTGTGGGCAGCTCCAGCTGTGGCAGGAGTGCATGAAACACACACGGCTCAGGCCCATAAATGACGATGGTATCATAGTCCCGTTCCAGGCGTATGCGCTTCAATAGCTGCAGCAGCAAGCCAGTATGCACATCTTTATCGGGCAAGTCTTCGAACTCGATGCCTTGCAGCCGCTGGCACAGAGAGCTCAGTAAAATAAAGACGATGTATAACTGCATGGCGACGAGTCCTGCGGCCATCACGCTACTGTGGCCCAGGCTGGAATTGTGGCAAGCTTTTGTGGTGCTTCGTGGTATGCGGCATGCATGTTTTGCAGTCAGTTAACACGGCTATTAACATAGCTGGCGAATGGTTTCAGGTATGTCTATGTCATTATGGCCAGCTCATGATCAGCTGAGGGCCATTCAACAGTCGCTTGTTTGAACTGGCTTTAGCTCTTAAAATCCGTCTCTAATTATCTATATATATTTCCTTATAAAATGGCTTAAGCCTAGTCGAAACACATTTGCTTAGCCACTTCACAATTTAATTTTTAAAGCGCTTTATTAACTTGGTGAAGAGTCAAAGAAAGTATTGATAATTAAATTTAAAAGCTGATCAAAATTGCATTATTTAAGACCGAAAATCTTTGCCCAGCAACACTCGATGGCGAAACAAATACAGGCAAATAGATGAGCCGCTAAGTAGAATACAAAAATGCGAGTTAGATCTTTGATGTAAACTTGGTCCTCCGGCATCAGCGGATGGCTGTAATCTTTCAGTGAAGTCAATTTTAAGCGAACCATATCATTGAAGCTGTTGTCCATCCAGAACTTCGCGAAGCCAAACTCTTGCATTGTCAGAATGTGCTTCTCGAAGAGCTGCCGATAGGGCAGATGGCGGCGGAGGGGCAGGGATAGCAGCAGGAACCGCTTCATGCAGACATCCTCGGAGTAATAGAAAACGGGCTCACTGAAATACTTTTGCTGCTCATTGAAGGAGAACCAACGCAGTTCCGTGGTTGGATAAATAAAGCTGATATTGAAACTCTCGCGCAACCTTATTAACTCCTGCCAATTGTCCACGATGTGGACGCGGTGTGCGTTGCTTGTGGTCAGACTCAAGTTCTTGAGCAGCCAATGTTTCGCCTCTTCGCGCTCCACTGCAATTCTGTGGCGAGAGTTGAGAATGTCCTCGAAGCTACGCAGCATCGGTTCATATGGAGGGTGCGTGAAATACGACTGCAAATAGGACTCGTACATGGTAGTGGTCATAATACTAGCGAAGCAGATCAGCATACAAATGCCCTTTAGATAGCGACTCGGCTGGGCAGGCATCGGAAAGGCATGGCCTAGAAGGCCGCGTATACAGCGGTCGTTGAGCAGCAAGTTGATGAGACTGAACCTGCGCCAATTGAGATCTTGGCTGTAGATAAGCAGCAGCGAGAAGATGAAGAATAAGACGATTAGCACGCCTGTTACCAGAGGATGCACAATAATTGTATAGATTTCCTTGTAGTCCAAGCGAGCTGGCACTGGAATCATAAAGCAAAACGAGCTGTGGATGTACGGATATGAGAGATGGTCGTAGTTCTTAAAGTCCAGAGTGCTGGACAGCGTGGCAGCGATATCCAGCATATTGAGCTTCACCCGTTGAACGATGTTTTTGTAGTGGATGCTCTGGCCTAGGCCAATGTCATCGCGTAGCTTTACCGTTGCATTGACGTGCTCCGCAAACATTGTGATCAGATTAGCAACAAATCCTTTTATCTCGTACTTTCCTGTGCTGGGATTATGATAGAGAAAGGCACGTGGACCCAGTAGATCAGGCTCGCTTCTAATAAGAGATCCGCGCATATTACTAAACTGCTCTACATAAATGAAGGCGTAATTGGAGTTGGATTCGGATGCTACGTCGATGTTGGAGTTCAAGCTCATTAGCGCGGTGGACTCTTTTGGGTAGCTGGAGCTCAAGTTGACAGCCAGCTGCACATAGTTTTCCTGCTCAAAGCAACGACAGCTATACAGATTGCCCACTGAATCCACCATGGCCACATTGACCTGCTCCCGCTCAAAGTAAGCCTGGCAAACTTCCTTTGGCTGCTTCTCTAACTCCAGATAGACCAAGCGACGGGCTGGCTGCAGCTTAAGCAAAGTTCTTGTGTTACGTTCCTGCTCCGCATCAGAGGTACAGATGAGAAGCAGCGACTCGCTGCTGAAGCTCCAATCCTCCCAGCTGCTGCCTTGTGTGAGCAGCACCGTGGGCAGCTCCAGCTGTGGCAGGAGTGCATGAAACACACACGGCTCACGCCCATAAATGACGATGGTATCATAGTCCCGTTCCAGGCGTATGCGCTTCAATAGCTGCAGCAGCAAACCAGTATGCATATCTTTATCTGGCAACTCTTCCAACTCGATGCCTTGCAGCCGCTGGCACAGAGAGCTCAGTAAAATAAAGACGACGTATAACTGCATGGCGACCATGGAGTCCTGCGGCCATCACGCTACTGTGCCTGGCACTCGAGTTGTGGCAGACTTTTGTTGCGCCTTGTGGCATGTGGTATGTGGCATGCATGTTTTGCGCCCTGTTAACATGGTTACAGGACATGATTTCAAGGTATGTTAATGTCATTAAAAACAGTTCATGATCAGCTAATAGTTTGACTCCTTTCAGTCAAGGCATTTAAGTGCTTTGCATGCACATAGCAAGGTTGTTTATATACAATATATATATATATGTATGTGATGTATATATATAATATATATATACAATATTATATATAAACTATGCAGATGACGCTAGCGATCTATAATTCAATATATTATATTATATATCTTATAGACTTATATGACCAGATGCGGGACTAACTTAAATAGACTTCTCTTTTGGTTCAGCTTGAACTTTATAGGATCTATCACATCAGAAAAATCTTCTCCCTTAAATGTCTTTCGCAAGAAATTTTACTATGATCTAAAATTCTTATATACAGATCACGAATTCATTCAAAAGTTGGCTAAGACAGCACTCAGACAAATTTCTTGCCCCGTTTTTTTGACCAGTGTAGTTGTTGCTCAGCTGTCGTCAGCTTGGTGGTCTTGAGCTTTAAATTAAAAGCCAATCTCGGATTTATATGTATATAGAAACATACACACACAGAGACAATCTAAGCCAGACTCTCTATGCTGACGATTTGCGTGATGGCTGTATGAAAGTCAATTTTTTGGCCATGTCTCACATAAATACATAAAATATGCTGGGCATGAGAATGTTGTCGCGTCGCCTTCCAAAAGGGGCGTGACCGTGTGCTCAAATTGGGGATTTGGGTTTTCTTTCTTTCTACTTTTATACGACTATCTGTAGCGCTTGCTCGCATGGCATGTGTTTAACAATTTCCGGTGTATGCGAGATTGTGTGTGTGTGTGTAGCGTGTCTGCTGCAAAGTCATTTGACTCTTAGGCTGGGTTTCTCGTTTGTTGTTTCGGCGTTTCGCTGCTGAAGATGGAGCGAAATTTTCCGGCAATTGAAGCGAGTGCAGTCAATTTTGAATGACTCTGAAACGTGTAGCAAATCAAACATTTCATTTTATGCTCTTAATTGCAGTGCAAGTGGTTTTCAATTATTCAAATGAGTCTCTTCCAGCAGCAGTGGCCACAGCAACAGCAGCAGCAGCACTCGAAAGTCTGACAAAAATTTGTTAGCTACAAATGGAGCTCAAAGTAGATGTTGCCATTGCTTTTGCTCCTGCTCCGTTTTTGCTGCCACAAACTGGTCTAGACTTGCGTTAATAGCCAAACAAGGCAAAAGGCGACACTGAAATCGAAATTTCTTCTGCTTCATCATTGGCTATGCCTTTTGGCTTTGGCTATGGCTTTTGCTTTTGCTTGTGCTGATGCCATCGTTTGGCTTTATCTGCTGCCTTTTGCCATTTGCAGTTGTTGTATGCGTTGTTGTTGTTGTTGTTGTTGTTGTGAATGACGTTTCAGCGAAAGTTGTTACGTTACAGCGACATGGACAGAGCCAAGTGAAGACACTGAAAGCCTATGCAAAACCGGTCGGTCATTGATTTTTGGCGGCTGCAAAATTACCTGGCCATGGTCACTGCGCGGCAGTCAGTCACCCAGACAGACCAAGAGACAATCACACAATCAGACAGCGAGTCAGGCACTCAGATGAGGGGGCTGCGATCATCTGCTTGGCATTTGCATGCATCGCTAATCTTGACAATTGTCGCACGCTGCGTATGCTTGATATTTATGAAGGTGTGTAATGAGCCTCACTTGTCCGCCAGCTAAAATTTAATTGCGACAAATTATGCAACAACAACAGCTGTGACCCACACTTGAAAAGAAGCCGAACAGTGGTTTAGTTTTGCATACAGTCGAATGCCTTGTCGGCGCGTTTTTGTGATTCAATTTATGAGATTGTCTTGGCGCTGCACCCCATTGGCCTTTTGGTTGAATCGTGATAAGACGAAGCCAAATGGCAATGTGTTAAGTGTGGAGAGGATTTATAAGGGACATCGAATTATATTTTTAGATCGCTCTCGGATTCTACCGGGCATTGAACAAGGTCAGAATTGTTATCTTAGTTGGCTCTGTTTGAATTTAGTTTAATTTGGTTAAGAGATATTTTTTATATTATAATAAAAAAATATTTTTTTTTTTCTTTTACTATAATAAAAAAATATGATAATAGTTAGAGAGCATAGCTTAATATCTGACAACCCTTAAGATTTAATCTTTATGGAGCCCAATCTAGTTATACCCTGAACCCATTGGGGAATAGGAATTGTGTTATGCAAATATACACAACATGCAGAATGATGCGTGACAAATGCCACAAAGTATATTATTTCTTCACCAGGACGACGAGCTGAGTCAAATGCTGCATTTATATTAAAAAAGTCCATCTAGAAAAAAAGTTATTCAACAATTTAGTGCCCATAGTAAAGCCAATGCTGCAGCCCAAGTTTAAGCCACTGCGTAAGCTGCGCAGTAAGCAGACGGTGTGTGTATGTGGGTGTATGGGTGTGTGCCCTGTTATGCATGATTATGTAAAGAAGCATCGAATGATTGTAAGAGTAGCTCTGAGCTGGGTTCGGGCTGTCACTTAGTCGTGCATATCCTATAGAAGCAGGAAATTTATATAATAATTTATATTCTACATCAGTTCAGTGGCATAAAAATCTAATCTATATTAATAAATTAATATTAAAGGCAAAAATTGATTAAAATTCAGTGTGAGATTTCTGACCTCAAATTATGCAAAGATGAGTTTTTTGGCAAAACACGTAGCTTAAGCAACTTGAATAAAGAGCTGCTTCATATTCATTTATCTCTTATATAAGATCAATTTAGCTGATATATAGAGCAATTAATAACTATCCTTTCCAAGTCAGCAATTATCCGTTGGAAAGAGCAGCGGAAACAGTTGAGATATATCAATTTATCAATTTCTATGTTTCCCATACAAAATGGGCGTATATGATTTATACTCTTTGAGTTTTTGATATTTTTTGAAAGTTATAAGCCCAAAAAGATAAATAAAATCATGAGTATATATATAAATCTATATATTTATAGATATCATTGCCGTTGGGTAGCACTAGAAAGTGGGCGCACAGCAGGACTTGAGCGACAATGAGAAGCAGTTTGTAAAGCAAACAACGATAGACAATAAATAAATTACTTTTCTGACTAATTAGCCAAATACTGATAATAATAATTGATCATCAGCCAAGTTATGGATATGTAATTTACATATATTTAGCTCAAGACTATTTGTGCCATGTGTAAAATCAATCAGCCCTCGATATGAGCTGCCATTATGAGTAGCTCTTATTTACGTTTCTTTTACTGTACATTATTTATGGTTTTTTTTTTGGGCTATTTGCCGCTCATTTGCTAACTGCGAGCTGAAATGTTTATGCTTTTCTGATCCACAATGAAACAAATCGCCTTTCGATAACTGCTCATTATGCGCGCTATTGTGATCTTTGATCTTTTTTTGCCACACATTTCGCTGTGGCTTTAACTATTACTTTTTTTTCCTTCTTTATTATTATAAATATTTGCCACTTTTCCTATTTTTATTTATTAACAAATGCGTTTTTTGTGCTATTGTTGGGCTGGCGGCGCAAAGTTTTTGGCTACTCTCTAAACATTTGCTCAGCGCATGGACGTAATTGTAAGCATGATTAAGTACTTTTCTGCTCTTAGCCAAATGAGCTGTAATGTGAGTGTGAGTGCGTGTGTGTTTGTGTGTATTCAGATTCACTTTCAATCTGAATTGATTGAGAATGCTCAACTCCACAGTTTTGCAGAGGCAGACGCAGCAGCAGCAGCAGCAGCAGCAGCTCTGCAATTCACCTCGTGGTGAAGTCTTCTTCATTCACTCTCTCTCTCTCTCTGTCTCCCACTCGCTTGCCCTCTCGCTCCGTCTGTCTGTGCCGTTGGCGACTTGGCCAAGCTGTGCTTGGCATCAAGTTTCAGTTATATTACGGCCGCGCTTCAGTTTGGACGCGTTGCGCTCTGCACAATTTGTTGTTGGTATTTTGCGGGTTTTTTGTACGTGCGGCGCGACAAGTGTGCCAGGATAACGCATCGAAATACATCTATATATATAAATATATATATATAAATATACACAAACGTGGCCTATGCGTGCAGTGTTAATTAGTGTAGTGTACTTTGCTTAATTAGTTAACAAGCAGCCAGCATAAACAAGAGCTGTTTAGCGGATTAGCTGACCGAAGCGTCTGTCCTGCAAGATGCGCTTGCAACATTTGCCATTGCTGGTGAGTTTTAATACCCATTGCTGTAGCGAGTGGGGTATGCTGTGCTATGTGTAATCAGCTGCGAACATAAATATATTTACTTGATCACCAGAATGAACTTACAGCAGGTTGCAGTTGGTTAACTGCATCAGGTTTATATATTCTAGAGCTTAGCTTAGTTGCTCCAGTCATATCACTCTAAGCTGCCTTTGTGAACACTTATAAAGACTGGATTTAGAAATTATATATTGTACATTTAAGCATATTATATAATGAATCATATATTTACTAATTTCTCGAATAACTTAAAAAATTATATTGAAATTTTTGTTCTTTTGGCATAGCTCGAAGACTTTAAGAGCTAAGCACATCAAATTTGGCTGAAAAGTTCTTACAGACTACTTAAAGCTTTGGAATATTTTACTTTTTGGATACATTTAAAAATTATATGTAATATATGAAACTCGCTTAAGTCTTGATTTTTTGATGTTGAAATAGTTTTCTGCGATAATTGTAAATTCTGAAAAGTTGATTAAGATTTAAGGACTGCAGATGCATGCGCTTAAGCAAAAGTTTTTGTAGTTTTAAATGCATGAAAGGATAAAAGGATTCTTTTCAAGGCGGAGCCTTAGGCTTTTGGCATATTTAAGTGCTGTGAGGATTGCAAAATATAGCGAATAATGCATTTTTTATTACTAAAATATATCTGGCTAAATTCATTATTTTCTAAAAGAAAACTCGATAATCTATAGCAACAACAGTTGGTCCAGGGTAACTGCTAGTCAGGCATGCTCACCTCAAGTACTTTTACTTTTGCTTGCTGGCCAGCTGAGCTCTTATGTAAGTCCACTTTTCAGTTAGCTGTGGGCAGATGTCAACGCTTGACCCGCCTGAACTTTGCCAGCTGTTTGTATTCTTCCATTGACATTGATAAATTATGTCACTAATGTGATGCGCAACAAGCCAAAAGCAACAACTGTAAATAAGTAAGAGCAGCAGCAGCTCAGCTGTAAAGTGTCTTCCGGCTGCCTGCACAATTGTGGCAGCAGCAGCAGGTGGCAGCTCAGTGTGAAGTGCAGGAGTCTTCAACTTGGCACTTGTTACGGCTGCGACTATATTTTTTTTGCTTAGTTTGTTTGTTTGCTTTATGTTGCATGCAACTAGTTAGTGACTCGACTGCAATCGAGCCCAAAAGATCTTGTGTAATCGCGAGCATCGCATCGCATTTGTGCATTGTCAGCCTGGCCAATGCGGCGTATGCGCACTGCCGCGCCATCTAATGCAAATAATGACCGATCTGCTGATTGCTAAACAGAATGTTGTGTGTGCGTGTGTGTGAGTGTGTGCTGCAGCTGCCTGAAACAACCTCATCGGCAGCAACATCTTTATTTTTTGAAGTGCAACAATCACAGAAATCAACATGCAACGCGGCAAGAGCAACAAAAACAAAAACAATCAAAGCGTGCCCTCCTTTCGCTTCTGTGGCAGACACAGCAGACGCTGCAGCCACCTTTCAATTTGCGACTGATTTTTATGCCACCGAAAATCAATAGCCATCATTATTGGCCATTTGGTTCATGGCAGCGCGCATTTGTAACCTTTACAAAAGATTTGTAATGTTTGATTTTTTTTTGTTTTATTTTTTTTTTTTTTTGCAATTTCGCTTTGGCAGACGCGCGCGACCCAGAAAGTGTTGAGCTGTTTGTACACATGTGAGCCAAATGCGTTTCATGGCTAATTGCTAGTTGGTCAAGCAAATAAAGAGACACCCCGACCAACAATAAGCTGATTGTCATTGCCCAAGTAGAATTGGCCAAATGGCCTGCTTTCCGACAGCAGCCGCACTTGGCCCCAGGGCTGATCACGCACACCAAAGCACTTCAGCACCTGTTACACTTGTACATGTATGCGTGTGTCTCTGTGTGTGTGTGCGTCTGCTTGTTGAATAGGCAGCGTCATTTTTTTAATATGCTGCACGCATGCAAACCAACAATTTGTATGTGAATTTGGAGTGTAGAAAGTTGATTGGTTTTATTTTTGAAAAACAAAACAAGAAAAAAAAACATTTTTTCTTTTGGCCCGAACTGAAAGCCAAGCCAAGAAATGTGACAAGTTCAGATGCAGATACATATATATATATATAAAGATTTATATACAAGTAAGTATGAGATATATATAGCTTCGCCTGTTAGCCCTGGCTGCCTTTCACTTGCAATTATTTATAAATATATAGTTTTTTTTTTGTGTTGGCCAAAAGATGCGCGAGTGGACACGCGTCTGTCTGCAAGGAAAAGGAAACTTTGCGGCCAAAATGTTGCAGACGAGTTGGTAACTGGCCAAGAGTTACAGGTTTTTCTAGCCAATCAAGTGAATGGCGACACACGAAATATGAATCTCACATCGTGGACGGATGGAGGATGAGTAAACACATAAAAATTGGAATGCGGTTTTTTTGGCCACAAACAATTTGTGTGAGTTTTGGCCGGCAATTACAGCTGCAAGCTAGCCGCCGAGCAGAGCATCGTCGGCATCAGCAGCATCATCTTCGAGTCCGACTTTTAATTAAAAGCTTGCCTAACGTTTGACTTCTGGTGCAGCTTCTTTTTTTTTCCTTTTGCTTTTGGCATATTAATGAAGCCGAATACGTCGATTGGCTTTAAGTCCAATTTGTGAGCAGCGGCTACCCTATTTTTTAATTAGTCGAAGCTCTTTAGCATATATTTTACTGCCCACTGCACAACTTATGCAATCGGCAGAGCGTTTTTGGTCAAATGCAAATAACACAAACTGCAGACTACGGACTACAGACTTCAGATACAGATACAGATACGCAGTTCGAGTTTTTGTCTGTTGCCGGTTCCGGCTTTGACTCGGACTCTCACTCTCACTTCAGCTTAATTGATGCTCATGCGTGTTGCTCTTCAGCTGCTGCTGCTGCTTCTTCTTCTTCATCTTCTTGTCGCTTTTATTTATACGATTTTTATGTATTTTATGCAACGACCTTGCACATCGTTTAGCTCGTCAGCTACGCTTAAGATCTGTCAGTTCAAAGATTTAACTAATTAAAAACTCTGTGCTTGATTATTAATTAAATGCGCTCTGAGCTGAACTGGGCGAAGTTCGTTGCCTAAGTCTTTTGTTGGCACATTCAGAAATTACGCCCGCCGCACACCTGTCAACTTGTGCCGCATGTGCAACGGCATCGCTGGTCACTTAATTTGTTATGAGTTTCTATTTTTGCTTTCTGATTATTATTGTTGCTGTTGCTGTTGCTGTTGTTGTTTTTGCATAACCTGCCTGCTGCATGCTGCATGCTGCCTGCTGCCTGTTTTTTTTCTGTTGCATTTCAACATTTCGTTCAATTGCTTTTCAATTGACTTAGCAATTTGCTATGGACAAATATGCAAAAAGCCAACTGCAACTGGTGACAGACTTGCCCAATGCCTGCGCCTGAGGTAATGGTTAGAGAAAGAGATGGCAATACGCGGCGAGAGGTAGATAGGTGGGCTGACAGCTAGAGGCAGTGGCAAAGGTGTACAATGAGTGGTGTCAATTACTTGTGTTATGTGTGCTTGTGCGTGTTCATGCGAGACAATGAGAGTGTTGTCAGCTAGACTAATTATTGGCAAGGATACCCTGTAAAACTTGGTTGGCAGCTGTGAAGTACTCCAACATAAGCAGTGGACGTTGGCGCTAGAGTCTGCTGAAAATAAGAGATGGCATTGGGGCAAAGTATGATGTGAGTTAGACAAGTCAATTGTGCAGTAAGCGTGACTGTCAGATACTCTGTAAAATAATAGAAACGTGAATCAAGAATTTTCAATGGATTCTGGCTATGACTAGATGATATTGCCTAAAAATGAGTTTGACTTGATTGACTGAGAGATACTCTGTAAGACATTAGAGTCATTCAAAGTGTTTTAGAAAGAAAGAAGAGATTCTCAAAAAACATATGTGAATTGCTATAGCAGTGAATGGGGAGTATTTATATAAGAGGCTGAATGTATAAATATAAGAAATAGTATATTTATCGAATAGTTTCAGTTGCCTAGTTAGGATTCTCTTACCTTAGTGCAGTACTTTTCTTAGTTTATTTTACTTATACTACTTTAGTAGAAGTGAAGTAGTATAGGTCTACTTCACTTATACTTGCTTCTCTTGTCTTATATTTACCTTAAAGTGTGCTTAGTTTGCTTTACTTATAATTGCTTCTATTTACTTCTTCTACTTGACTTATACTCACATGACTTAACCTATTTATACTTATACTTATATCTCTAAATACTCCTTTTATTTGTTATACTTGATTTACATGTATTTTCCTTTTCTTATACTTAGTTATTTTTGATATCCTTTGCTAAGACTAATTTACTACTACACTTAATTATTTATTCTCTATTACTTATAATTACTTATACATATACTTATATATAATTATATAATTACTTAGCTCTCGTTACTTATGCATACTTTCCTTTACTTATACTACTTGATATGTGCTTCTTTTCCTTTACTTAAGACTTATACTTTACACTTATACTCTCTTTTCTATCTTTATGCTTTGTGGCTTATTCTACGTTTCCTTTCTTTATACTACTTGACTTATACTTATATTTCATGACTTAACCTACTCCACTTATATCTACATTGCTTTCCTTTACTTATACTACTTTTTCTTACTTCTACTCAATTATTTATACTTACCTCGTTTACTTATATGTACTTTACTTTACTTATACTCAGCCCTTTTTACTTATACTTACTTTCCTTTACATATACTTTTTGACTTATACTTACACTTCATTTATATACTTATACTTACTTGCACTTACTTATACTTATACTCACCTTTCTTTACTTATATTTTGCATATGCACTTTCTTTGCTTCACTTAAGCTTATCTCGCTTTAACTACACAATTTACTTCTTGAAGATATCAATCTATCGCAAGATACTAAGAACTTAAAGATGTCTTCATCCACACACACACACACGCACTTCATCTGCCCACACACATTCAC